GAAGTGAAGCATCTATGGCCCCTTATGCTATTAACATCGGTCGCAGTAGACTCGCTCATGCCCTTTTAACTGCAATCGCCTCATATGTCACATTTAGCCCAACAATATTCATGTGTATAAAAATGGTATCTAAAGATAATTTGATTCAATCTTTTTTAGTTGCCTCCCATTGTTTAACTATAGTATCATTTCTATACATATTCTTCTAATCGATAATTAAAATCACGAAATGAATGAATGAATGCATGAATTCATTGGAAGAAATGTTTTAACACTTTAATGTCTCGAAACATCTGATCAAATGATTTCACAAAATGTAGAGTAACTGTAAGTCATTCTCATTGCAAACAATATTGTGTATAAAGTCTGGTAATGTCTGTACAGATGTGATCAGTGATCAGTATTTCCTCAGTCGACACATCTGTATGTTTTGAATGCAGTTCTCAAACAGCGTTTGCCTTCATTTAGGAAATGCATTCCCACGAGAAGTAGTGTATAATCCAAATGCTTTATCGCTTATATAATTTTTTGCCGAATGTATGCCTGCATTGCCTATAAGTTGGAGCACACCTGCACTCCAACCTCTCGCTCTCTCTTTGCCTCTCACTCTCAATGCAATTGCTTTTATGGCAAATATGTTTTACTAACGAAATACAAACCTCACAGTTATGTGCAATACATTGGCTGCCAAATAGAGAGACAATTCAATGCAATACTGGTTAGGGATGTGATTGAGCTTTGAGTCCAACTCTTAACTTCATTAACACGTATTAGAACTGCCGAAAGCCGTTGTTTAACATGTTTTCACATTTCATATTTTATTTCAATATTATTCAATGAAATGAAAAAATTGTTTGCTTTTTTGATTAGCATTTAAACGATGAGAAAACTTGATTTCCTTTTAAGTCGACAAAGAATTGGAACCGAAAATGAGATTTTGTTTAAAATGCAATTTTTTGGCAGTTCTGCTGACAATTGGTTGTCTGCCCCGTCTCTACCCCTACACTCTTAGTACTGATATTTAGTGAAAAACAAAACATAAGTCAAAAGCGGCCAAAAAGTAGTGATGACCTCCTCGTGAGTTAATTCTTAGAATGAATTGATAAGTGTATAGAATCGGCACAATTGTTACTACATGTGTGAGCAGTACTGATGCATACAATACTGTGCACATAGTGTATACAGTCTGTACACTATGTGTAGTTCACACTCACATACCTGTGCACCCAAACTGGCGACAGTAGACGGGGAGAGGTTAGCACTTAAAGGCAAGTCAATGGAATTTGTAAGACTGACGCCAAGACTCCTATGGAAGGCAATTGTAAGGCTATTATAACCTTTATATCCGTAAATACCGAGCCGTCGCCGCACCGGCTGTGCTGTCATTGGAATTATATATTTAATGACAATTCATTGGAAAACAAACAAAACTAATGATACGAAAGGAGTGGAAGTGTTGTATTGGTCTCAAACACACGGCTTAAATCTTTTCACTTCTTTTCCACACTTTTATATAAATATTTATTAAAAAGAATTTAAATGTTTATTATATTTATTATATGTATTATAAGTTACTCTCAATTTTATTCTATATTTCAAATAATATTACAATTTTATCAATAGTTTAGTTTACAATTTATTAGTTTATATTAATTAATGAAAAAATAGATGTGTTTTAAAAATGTATTTTTCTTAAAACCAGAGAATGTGCAGCCCTTTCATCCTTATCAGGGATTCTATGGTTTCCAACATTATTGTCAAAATAGACTATTTTTAGGCAACATTTCGGGCCTAAACTCAGGCTATTTTAAAAGTGTGGTCTCAGGGAGGGCTCAAAGTGTTATGAATTCAAACATATTTTCAATAATACTATTAGTTAAGTACAAAAATAGACAAATTAGTGATTACTAGTGTTTGAGGCGCTCGCAGTTCACGGCAATTGCTATGACTGAATGACTGGTTTTCATTGTTAGTGAACTATAAATTTGATTAGAGATTATTATTGCCATTATATCAGACAATTATTCATATGATTAAGTAATTAATGCTATGTTTTATCCTTTCATTGATTATTAATTAATGTTAAGGGCATTAACTTGTATTGAATATATTAGTTTAGATCTTCCACTGATCTCGTGTGCCATTTGTGCCATTAGTACGAGAGACCAATTTCGATGTACGAGCTGTTCGTCGCTGTTGGTAACCCTCAAGACTTTCTACAGACATATCACTTCCAGCTCTGCTCGACGGACGACTCGAGTGACGACTTTCTGGCCGAGAGTTTGGTTTACTGCCAGCTGTTCGGCAAAACATAAGATTAGCACAAATATTCAAAACATGTATTTTCATTAACAACGCTTACATCCAACTGTTAGACGACTTAATGGGCGGCCTTTGGATGCACCGGAACTGTCCGCCTGATCACTGAAACTATAATCGCTCGTAGAATTTCCATAACGATAGTGCTGTTGATGAGCCATAGGTACGGAACGCTCGCTCTTTTCTCGGATCTATTCATCAATTAATAGATCGTTAAATATTTTTATTTATGCCAAAAAATTTTACCAAATTTAATGAAACAAATGAGTGAAACAAAAGTTGTGGAAATGGAAACCAAAACCGAAACGATATTTAGAATCGAGTTTTATATAGAATTTACCCAAAGATGAAGAGGAATAGGTATTCTTGAAGAGAAATCGCAGGGCAGAGGCCGGTAAGACGTACACAATTCAGGACACGCCTGAACCGGCAGACAACGGCATAAACCCATTTGCATCAAACAGTCTTATGATGTCGTGAATAGCAATGTTAGAAATATTAGTATTAAATTAGATTTTCAAATACCGCTTAACTATTTTTATATGTACTATAAATTAATATGTAATCAAATGTACATTAGGTTCACATCTAATGGATTTGGGATTACGTTAACATTCAATTAAAATAAATAACTCAAAATATAAAGCAGACAAAAGTCAAAGAAATCTTCGATTATTAGCAAAGAAAGAGAGATTAAAGAGTAATTTTCAGTCATTATTAAATGAGACGGCAATACAAACCTTAGTTATTGGACCCGTAGTACTGATAGTTCCGTCGGGTTTAATGGGCGACTTAGACTTAAAGGGTGTCATCGACTGACTCACCCCATCGGCCAAAATAAACTGCTCGCGAAGCTCGACATTTGTACGGCCTTTAGCTATACGTGCATTCAATCGCGTAAAACAAAATACAAAAAAAAATCATAAAACATGCATTCAATTCATGCAAAACTAATACATTTTCAATTCAAGCAAAACTATAATTATTTTAAACGAAAAATAATATCGCAATCAAACGTCACGACAAACAAACTGATGGGATCTCCAAAACCTTATAATTAGGGGAATGAATGGAAGTGAATGGTATGCATACCTCTGCAGGGGTCGTTCTTGACCAGGAACTCGTCCAGTGATACCCAACCGCCGCCAACTCTCACCATAACAGTACTGCGAAGAATGCGAACCAATCGGAGTTTTTGCGATTCACCGAACTATACATCAAGTATTACACAATCATTAGATCAATGTTTGGGATCAAATGTGTACAAGAGATTGGACTCACTCTATATCTGCCTTCGCCCACTTGGAAGACCTTGTATTTCGTAAGACACGTGCATTTGTTGACCAGACGTTGCACTTCATCCTGAATAATCTCGGCCTCAGTCTTGGGCTGATCCCTATCGGGTCTCAAAGTGTCCAAATACTCCTTCTGGTCGACATAGCCGTCGCCGTTGCGGTCGAATATATCCGCGACGCGATTCATCTCCAGACGACTGGTCGGGAATTTGGAGGCGAGGAAGCCTTCGATGAACTCCTGTTTAGTAACCTTTCCGTCGTTGTCGTTGTCGATCTTTCTGAAGAAGTCCATAATTCTGGCCTTTTTGTTGTTCATCCATCCGAGGAATCTTCGGCGCCACTCATCGAAGTCGAAGTTTCGCATTCTATCCAACTCTCGATTGTAGTTGAGTTTGTCCTGAAGTCGTTTCATACGATCCATCGCTAACTTCCAGACAACGCTCCACTTCTCGAGCAGTTCCCGAGCGCGCGGGTGTTTGATCTCAGGCTCGACGTGACCTCTGGTTGGAGTTGAGGTGCGCGGAGGCAGTCCTCGCCTTCCCTTTGCGCTGTCGATACCCTTTGACAGCTGTTCTCTCGTTCCGCGTTTGGTTGTGAAAGCTTTGGCCACTTTCTCGACGTCCGGTTCTTTTCGGATCATATCGTCAATAAATCTCTGGTGTTCTTCAATGAGGCGCTCGAGTGCGAGCACTTCATCGGGCAGTGGTTGCGCTTCGGCAGCCAATAGTGAAGCTTCGGCGCCGATGAGCCACGCGAGCAGCTCTTCCAACAGATCCATTATATTCCTCAATGACCTCAAGTGGTCCTGAAGTCTCTGTTCTCGCTGTTGAGCCCAAGCGGACACCTCTTCCCAACGCGACTGAATGATTGTAATCCAGTGTCTGATGACAGGCGTCGCCTCGGGATGACATTTCTGGAGGATCTCCTGCGCCAACGCTATCGTCGAGTCTTTATTCTTCTCCTGTGACGCCATTTCCCGCATAAATCTCTCGTGTTCTGAGATCTGTTGTCTTGTGGTCGCCTCGTCTTCAGGCAGAGGTCCGGCAAATCTCAGTTTCATCTCCGCGTCGGACAGCCATTCGAGAAGCATATGAACCGATTTGTGCAACTGTTCCGCTTGTTTCAGAGCGTCTTCCAGTTTCCTATGCTTCTCATCGCTGAGTCGCGACACTTCTTCCCATTTGGTGTCCAATATATTCATCTGCTCTTTAATATGTCGCGCGTCTTCAGGAGTAGCCGTTTGTAACAAATCTCTGGCAGTTTTACGAACGGATTCCAAATTCTTGGCGCGACTCTTGAACTCTTCCTGAAAAGCCTTGTGTTGATCGACGAGTGCAGTGACGGTATCGAGATCTCCATAAACAGGTGTATCCATCGCTAACTCCTTCTTCGCTTTGTCCAACCAATCAATCAGAGCCTGAATCGCGTCTTTGAATTGACCTGAGAATAGAAGCGCTTCTTCCAGTTTCCTCTGTCTGTCCACTGATTTATTGCAAACGGAATTCCATTTATTCTTCAACTCATCGATCATTTCCTGAAGCACTGGTCCGTCAGGTTTGGGCGCCTTTTCTTTGAGACTTCGGCCCATTTTGATGGTCGCGTCGTATACCGACTGTTTGGCTCCGAGAGAGCGCTGGAATTCTTTGTGTTTTGCGAGCATTTGTTTAATTAATTCGGGATTATTTCCCATTTGTTGGATCGAATCCAATGTCTTCTCGGCGTCGCTCAGCCATGACATCAACTCATTCCAGGCGTCGCTAAACTCTTTGGCCTCTTTTAATCCGTGGTCCAGAGCTCGCGATCGTTCGGCTGCTTTAGACACAACGCGTTCCCATCGGTGCTGAACACTGACCAATAGATTCTTAATCAGAATCACGTCTTGCTTTTGGCTGAAGTACTTGAGATGAGTTCCCTTTTTGTCCAGATTTAGCATTACGTCTCTGTGAGCGGCGATGTCCTTCTGGAAGTGCTTGTGTTCTTCGATTTGTTGCAACACATTGTCCACAATACGACTCACTGGCTGTAAGTTTGACAGATATTTCTCCGAAGACGTCAACCAATCGACAAACTCTTGCAACGCTTCGTGAAATTCTGTCGCCTCTCTCAACGCTATTTCCAGTTTAATCTTTCGGTCGTTCGCACGACTCAACACATTATCCCATCGCTGGCGAAGTGTCTTCAAATTGTGCGCCAAATTAGTGGCCGCGCCGTCGGGTGAACGCCTCAAATAGTCCTCTCCCTGTTTGAGCACTGATTCAACCTTAGGTCGAATGGACTCGAGTTCGGTGTAGAGCTCCATAAAACGATTCAACTGCTCTCTAGCCGTCTCGGGAAGTCCGCCGACGGGTTTGGATGACGTCAGCTGTTGGTCGACATCATTGAGCCATAACAGCAAGTCTTGAATCTCTTGATTGAAAGCGAGCGCCTCTTTCAGTGAGTCCTCGAGTTCTCGCTGCCGTTGGTTAGCCTTCGCCACCAATTGTTCCCAACGAGAGTTCAGATCATTGAGTTTGGTTTGAGTGGTTCGCGCGCTATCGGTTCCCCTCTCCAGAGCCAGCATTTGTTTGCCCGCAATGTTAAGTGTGTCGAGACTCGTCTGGTGGGCGTCGATGTCATTCATAAGAACCTTATGTTTAGCCAACTCTACTTCAATGACCGGCGGATCGCCGAACACAGGCCTCATGTCGTCGAGCGTTCGCTCGGTCTTTGAAACCCAAGCGAGGAATTCATTCAACGCGTGTTGGAATTGACCCAAACGTAACAAAGCGTTGTCCAAATTGGCTGATCTGTCCGTTATATTCTTCAACAACACATCCCAACGACGATTGATATCATTGATTGGCCCTCTGATAGAGCGCGCTCTGTCCGGGTGTACGTCTTGCAGCAGTTCCTGTGCCTGTCTATTGAGTGCCTCCACTTCAACCATATGTGGGTCCACTTCGTTCTGGAATTCCTTCAAATCCTTGATCTGTCGCTTAACGGCGTCGATATCGGCGGCGATCGGACCCAAGCCGTCAAACTTACGCTCCGCTCTGTCCAAGAAGTCCAGAAGATTGCGAAGCATTTCGTGAAAATTCATCGCCTTCTCCATCGCGTCTATCAGATTCTGTTCGCGTTTGGCGTAAAGTGAAGTCACGTTATCCCAAGCGTTGTCCAAATCGTCGATATGTTTCTTCACTTCGGGTTTGTCGGGCTCTCCGCACAGTTGCAAGAGATCTCTTCCGGTCTGTTTGCAGTGATCCACCTTTGGTTTGGTCACATCCATGTCGTGCTTAATGTCACTCAATTGGTTCTGTTGTTGTTTGATTTCGTTGGGTTCGGCGGCCGGCGGCTCCTGATTGTTGAGTGTGTCCTGAAGATCGTGAATGGCTTTCATTACGTTATTCAACTCATTCCAAAACTTTTCGGCCACTTTCAGGGCATCGCTCAGCGAACGACCCCTACTGTTGGCTCCCTTCTGGACCTCATCCCACAAGTCATTCAATTTGGCCAACTTTTTCTTAATGTCCCGAATGGCCGGTTCGTCACTCTTTCCCGCTTTACTGATCACATCTCTGGCCGCTAACTTAATGGCGTCCACAGCGGCCGCTCTCTTATCCAGATCTTTAAGAATAGCGTTATTATCGAGAATTTGTTCCTGAATTCTGTCGGGATGTGCGGCAATCGGCTCAGCGTTTCTCAACTGATCGGCCGTATTGTTCAACGCGTTCAGCATTCCGTCCAATTTGTCCACAAACTGAGACGTGGCCTGAAGTGCGGCCTCGAGTGCGTTCTCGTGCTCTCGAAGAATGTTTCGCAACTTATTGTAGCGATCGTTATCGCTGTCCATAATCTTCTGGACCTGTCGGGCGTCCTCTTCATAGATGACTCGCATCAAAGCGGCGCCCGTTTTGTTGAGTTTGTCGACGAGTGGCTTGTGTTCGGCCACTGATTGGAGCAACGCTTTGGTCATCTCTTGTTGTCGTCTGATTTGTGGCGCATGAATGGCCGGCTTTCCCAACATTTGTGCCTCATTTTCCGCCTCTTCTAACCACTGGCACAGCTCTATGTGAGCCTCGAAGAAGTGTTGAGCCAATGGCAGCGCCTGTTCTAAGGCGTTGAGTCTGTCCTGACACAACTGCGAGACGTGATTCGCCAGTTCTTTCAGATCTTCCGATTTGTCTCTAATGTGCGCCAAATCCTCTCCACTCGATTCGCGCATCAATTTCTTGGCGTTTGTGATCACATCTCTTACTCTTCCCTTTTGGCTATTGATGTCGTCATACAATGCTTTCGTTTCCTTCAATAGGATGGCCAACGCCTCGGGATTAGGAGTAATGGGTTCGGCCTCTAATAGTTGCCGTTCGGCGTCGCGGAACCAATCGAGCAGTTCCTCGATATCTGTCAACACTTCGCCGTTTCGTTGTTTCGCGAGTTGTATTCTCTCGGCTTTGCGTTGGATTTGTTCGCAAATGGCGTCAAATCGACGCGAGGCTCGGGTGACAAAGCCCTCGATAGTGGCCGCGCCCTGACCTGGAGATATGGACGACAGCTGTGGCCCCAAGTGATTGATTGTCTCCAAATGAATCCTATATTCGGGGATCTCTTTCTCCAATTTGGTGATGATCTTCTCCTGAGCGCTCAGATTCAATGAGTTGACATTCTTGAGGTCACGCTCCGCCTCATCCATCCATGTGTTGAGTGTATTGTGTGACTCGTGGAAGTTCTGGCAAATGGGAAGCGCTTCTCTCGCCTGTTGCAGTTTGTCCGAAGACTTGTGCGTCAATTCACTGAACCGGGACTGCAATGAATCCAATTTCTCTTTTATGAATATAGAGTCGCCGCCCGACGAGTGTTTCATAATCTCTTGACCCGAATGGACAATATCTGCCACTTTCTTCTGGTGACTGTGAATCTCTTCAGACATTTCGGTCAATTCGTCGACTTGTTCTTTAAGTTTGTCGACATAAACGCTAAGAACACGGAATCGATTCAATCGGGACTCCATCTCTTGAATCCACGCCAGAATGTCTTCGAAACTGAGAACAAAACTTCCCAACTCTTCGTGCGATTGATTGAGAAGACGGCCCAAAGCGACGCTATCTTCAACCAGTTTGGCGTATCGATCGGTCACTCTCTGGAGCCGTTCGACCACATCCTGTGCCTCGTCATCGCCGACCAAACTCATCAAATTCTGTGCAATTTCTGTTAACTCTTCAAAATCGCGTTTGTGTTCAATGATGTCTTCGTGAAGAGCTCTGTGATCGGCAATGCGTTTGCGAATCCGGTTTTGATCGGTTGGGATTTGGGTCGAAAGAGTGGCCAGTTTTCGCTCCGACGACTCGAGCCAATCGGAAAGAGGACTAATCCTTTCTGCAAAAGCCCGAGCGATAGGCAGTGTCTGTTCGAGAGTCGACATCCGATCATTACATTTGGCGAGAATAATGTCGAATCGTCGCGTGATTTCACTCATCTGTCTCTCAATGGGAGTCCTTTCACCCGAATCGAGGTTTTTAATTAAAACTTTGGCCGACGATAACAAGTACTTAACACTCGACTCTTTGTCGACAATCATCTTTCGGAGCACTTTCTGCTCCTGAAGCTGAGCCTTCACCACCTGATAGTCGGCAGATATAGGCTTCTGATTGGCCATCTCTTCTTCGGTGTCGGACAGCCATCTGAGAGCTGCGGCCAAAGCGTCCTGTAATGGGTAGACAAGCGTTAGAAAAGAGTCGAAAGCCATTACAAAAGCGCATAGCATTTGCAGAGCAGAGTTTGCACAGCGTTTCAGGCGTTCATTCGCTAAGCGTTTCGGTTAAAAAAAACCGTACAAATAATGCGAGCAATAAAAACACAAACAATTGTTTTTAAGTTAGGCTTTGATTAAGGCGTTAGTTTTTGACGACCGACCAAAACACCGATAGATATAATTTAGAGATTATTTAAAATAAAAGTTTTTAAATGCCAAACAAACAAAACGAAACAAAATTGTTATGTAACACAAGTCGAAAGCGAATGCCAGAGGCAATAACGGGTCGATATCTCACCTCTGTTTGGGTTAAGTCAGTAGAGGTTACTGTTGTTTCGGTACTTATCTCTTGTCGGTTAACCTCTGTCTGTGATTGAATAGAAGCCGTTTGTTTGGGCGCAACGGCGGGAGTGGTATTCGTTTGACTCGTTCTGCTTTCACTAGTTTTTTGTTTTACAACCGCAGCGCCCACTGATTGGGCAGCGATTATGGGGGCGCCCACTACTGCTAATAGACCCTCTTTGATGGCATCACTTATTGCCATTTTGGTTTGTGTCTTAATATCCATCAGAGTTGCCTCCTTTGCATCAATCCTTCCCTCCCTAATGGCATCTCCAGTGCTCTTAGTGTTGCCGTCTATGGCATCAAATATAATGGCATCCATGTCTACAAATCCCCTTTCAATCAATTGCTCCAATGAGACCAGTTCTTTAGTCTCCGGGTCTCGGAATTGATTGCTCTCCTTATCATATAATGAGTCAAAAATACCAGAAATGGTGTATTTGTTAGAATCGCCGTCAGTTTGTGTGGATATCTCTTGTGATTGAAATACTATTTTCGGAAATGTTTGAGATATTTGTATGGCCTCCGCAGTCGTAGGGGAGGTAATAGTGCCGGTCGTGACACTCATTTCACCGGATTTGGTGACGTTAGCCATCGATTGAACAGCACTGGAGGCCCGAAGAGTGACCTGACCGGTGGATGTGATCACTGTTTCAACACTCGTTTGGACGACTGCTGCCGCGACTTGAGATTTAGTCGTCGAGTCAATCGAAAAAACAACATTTTTCTTGTCATTGATTTCCTTAATTGTGTCATTAATTTGATTACTCTTTTCAATTGTTTCCTCTTTTGGTAACTGTTTCTCAATTTTGTCGCCGTTTTGTTTAATCATTTCTTTCCCATTAACAGTCATTACCTGTTTTGATGGACTTTCTATCACAAGTGGTGTGGAGATTGTTTGAGACGAAATTGGTTTTACAACTTCTGGGACAGAGGTCTCAGTCATTAGAGTCGAGCCGTCAATAGGTGTCGATTCAGTATATTTAACGTCAGAAATGAGTGCCTTTTTGATGGCAGTACTGATTGGCATCACTTCTTTAGTGATAGGATGTGTGAACTGTAATGCATTCAAATCAATGAAACCACTCTCGAGTGCAGCGGTGTATGAAAGAGCCAACTCTGGAATGGGTTTCTCTAACTGAGAAGACTTCTCCTTCTGGGTCTTTGGTAATCGGAGATAATTGGTTTCCACCGCTTCTACTAATGGCATCTTCCTTCTAGAAACTGTCGTTACGTCACAATTGACTGAATCAATCACTCCTTTACTGATGGCCTCCTCTAATGTAATGGATTTCTTAGTCTTGGGATCCATTAGTTTGGAATTCTTGTCGACGATATCACAGGCAATGGCTTGAGATAGAGTCAAGAGTTGACCCGTTTCTGAGTGGATTATTCGCCGCTCTATTGGATTGTAGAGACCTTTCTCTATAAGTGACGGAAGAGACAGACTTCGGCCAATCGGATAAATTAACGCTTTGTTGTCGCCATCAATGAGACCCAAATGTAATGCCTTTCTTATGGACACTTTCTCTCCAGTCTGTGGCTCTATAATAGAGCCCTTTTCGCCATCGATTATATGGCCAACAATGGCCTCCTCTAAAGGCATGTCGTGCGGCACCGACTCTATTATTTCTGCAGTTTCTTTGCTTATCAACGCTTCCGCGACAGCAGTTTGCGGAGAAACTGAACGCCGCGGAACTCGTTTGACAACGGATTCGCGTTCGGGAGAGGAGTGTGTTTGTGGGCTACCCATCGATACTTCAAATGATGGCTCTTTCAGAGACACTCTTTTGGGAGATTTAGTACGAGTTGGAGAACGACTGGGACTCGAACTACTAGAAGATGATCTCGATTTCGGTGGACTACCTGTTGGCGAAGTTCTCGTTGGACTACCAATCGGTGACCTCTTTGATGGGCTACCTATTGGCGATTTGTTTGTCGGACTACTTGTTGGTGATGTCTTTGCTTTAATACTTGTGGGCAAACTTTGTGCTAAACTCAATGATTTGTCTTTAGGAATGATATGTCCATCAATAGTGTCGGACTCCATAACAGTAACATTTGATTTGACCACATTGTCCACAATCTCTCCCCTTTCGAGCCGTTGAGCGGTAACGGCGTCTATAAGACCTCGTTTGACCGCTTCTTCAACCGACACCTGTTGGTCAGTCATCGGGTCGTGAATTGTAAGTTCAGTTATGTTGTGAGCGCCCACTCCTTCCCGTCTCTGGTCTTCTTCTTTAAGGCTTTGCGCGGTTTCGGCGTCAATGAGACCCAACACAACCGCTTCGTCTAACGACACTTCTCGTTGAGTTTTGGGATCTTTAATAAACAATTCTCTCGATCTAATTGTCTGAACCGTTTCTTTGATCACTTTTGTGGTTTTGGTCTTATCTTTGTTGTCTGTCGTCACCGAATCGGATCTAATAGAAGGACTGGTCTCTGGTTTTGCGCGCATAAGTGCGGCTCCTTTTGCGACAGAAGTTGTTGGAGAACTCGATTCAATACATGACTCTAAAGTCTGGGCCAATATTAAAGGACTGGCGGCTAAGACTAATAGACCCTGTTTTAGCATTTCGGGAATCGATAACTTTTTGGAGCCCTTTTTGGGTGATATTTCCCCCGTTTTCCTGTTGACAATACCCTTCTTGAGCGCGACCTCAAGTGACATACATTTACCACTTTCGGGATCAGTCACTAAAAACACCTTTGGATCGACTCTTTTTGAACGAATCGCTTCCATTAAATCCATTCGTTCTCCAGTTTTTTCAATCAAAATAGTATTACTTTGAGGGCTATAATAGATGTTATCATCGATTCCGATGAACTGTTCTCTCGTGACAGTGGACTCTGGAATGTCTAAATGAGATCGTTGTGTCGCCTCTGGACTAACAATCAGATCCAATTGGTCGGCCCCGCCCTCAACGGTTGTGATTCGCAACAGTTTTGGTGTGAGCGACAAATCGTCGCTTCTTTGCGTCTCTTGGAATCGAATTAAATTCAAATCAATCGCTTCTTTCATCGAAACTCCTTTTTGTTGGCATTTCTCTCCCACATAATGACCGGTCGAGTCAATCACTCCCTTATCAAACGCCCGTAGAAGAGGTAATTTACGATTGGTCTTCGGGTCGACCACAACAGCAGAGTTGGGATCAATAATCTGTAAGCGAACCGTTTCCTCAAATGACACCAACCGATCGGTTCCCGGAATGGCAAACATTCCCGACTCGGAGTCGACAATATTTTGATGGATCGCATCCTCTAAAAGCCAGCCCTCGGGCGGCAACTCAAGCACTTGAGTGTAAGCGCCCGTTGTTTCACTTGTCATTGATTGAGATGTCAAACGGTTATCACTACTACTGACAACATTACTCTCATATAACTGTTCACTAATCAAATCGCTTTCTCTTTTCTTAGCCACACTTTTGCCGGATTTAATACTCGACTCAAATGTATCGGAAGTTTTGTGTAAATCGGGAGATAAAGATTTTTCCCGTTGAATGTCTTTTTCGGAATAAACAATATCAGAGATTTGGCTCTCTTTTCCGTTTATTTTCTTAGATTTAAACATCTTTTTAGTTTCCGTTTCCTCAAAAGTGGACGATTTTATCTCAGATTTGGAAACAATATCTTTAGAAAAAGATGTCTTTGTCTGCGACACCGAAGAACTCGTTTCATTGATTGTAAACTCCTTATCGGGAGACATCCTCTGCGACGAAGATGACATGGATTTGGTTTCGGAATCCTTTTTATATTTAGTCTTAGAAATTGATTGTTTAGGCGAACGATCGGACGAATCGTGAGAAGAAGAACTGCTGGAACTGCAACTCATCCTCTCTGGTGATGAGGAACCGGACTTATCACTGGTAGGAATGATATCAGAGCTACTGTTTAACTCAATGGATGTGTGTTTAGTTGGAGAGCGCGACCGCATATCAAACCGCGACTCAACTTTATTTGAGACTCTTTTTGATTTCATACTCTGTCTGACGATATCTGAGGCAGACTTTGCCTTTTTAGGAGAGGGCGGAGACGGAGATCTACTCGCACTTCGTACACATGTATCTGCTTTTATAGCATCCGTTTCTGTAGATTCGGTTATTAGACGCCGAGTGCTCTTTATTTCAGAGAAGGTTAAGGCCTGAGGTGTGCCAACACTGACACCGTCCCGACCCATACCGTCAGTCTGATCGGCAACACTCATACCATCAGACGGTAAAAACTGTGTTAATCTCTGTTCAATGCTAACCGATTCCTTGGATTTGGGGTCGGAATCACTTGTTTTAAGGACAAGAGTTGATGTGGTTTTACAAGTTTTGGCACTCATATCGTAATCAAGTTTATTGTGGTTAAAGTCATTTGAGTGACTCTTTGGTTGGTTTTGTTGGTTAGAAATAGTGGTTAAAGAAGTAGTGGTAGTAGTATTAAAGTCATTATTTAAGTCCATTTGGTTATATGTTTGGTTAACAGCTAATCCCAAGTCAGTTCGATATGTCTTGAATGATAATCTGCTGATTAGCTATAAGACAATGGTTTGAAGGTTTCGTAAGAGAGAGAAAGAGAAAAGAATTTATGAAAGGAATAGTAAAATAGGAGTTAAAATCCATAACAAAATTATATATTAAGTTCTTATCAATTATTCAAAAGACAATAAAACATAACATTTCATGCAATAAACCGTTTCAATATTATAACAATAAGTGTGTGATTAAACCAATTAAACCATAAAAAACCAAAATTAATGATTATTATTATTGTCTGAACAACAAAATATTGTTATGCATCACAACTTAATTCAATATAAAATAGTTATCACTAAATGTCATCATTTAGTGTTTCATTTTAAAAACAATCAAACATTTAATCAAATTATAAAATTAATGACTTTTAACTTATAATAAAATGTAAAAACTCAAAAAGTTGTATAAAACTTATGTCTAACTTATATTGCGGGCAGAAATATGCGGATTCTTATAATCATAAAACAATAATAACTTTCGACGTAATAATAATATTACAAATAATTGGCAAACAATTCGCTAAAATTAAACTAAAACTACTCATAAATCGCGGCTTTGCATCAAAATAAATGTATTCATGAATTGAATAATAATAATGTGTTTCTATGAATAAACAACGACTGATCGCATGCTTTCAATTCAAAAACATTTTTCTCACGAATATTTCAAAAACAAAATAATTGTTTCAAAACGCATTCATATAATCATAAAAACATAATAAAACATCAAAACAATGGTTTGAAAACTTACTTTAGTTTCCTGTAGAGATTTATTAAGAAGATGGCGAATGTTCTCCAATAGTTGACTGTATTCGCTGTTAAGCTGATCCAATTCTTGAGCGACAACATCTGCACCGGGATTTCTGCGGGATCTCTTAGCACTGGCGTCAAGACTAGGGTGCGAGTCCTCCAGATTCTCTCTATAACTCTTAATCTTTAAGTCATATATTTTGGCCTCTCGTATGAATCGTCCGCCGGATTCGTTCGTGTCTTCGATCGATGGCTTTCTCTCGATTAACGATTCGTTTATTTTCTAAACAAATTTAATTACAATTTCATTAAACTCTTTGCACACAATTATATGTTGATTGAGTGGCACTTACTGTCGCCGCTTCGAGATCTGGTCGGGTCAACAAAGTGTTGACTTTGGCATTCATTTGGCTGAGCCATGACCTCTCGCTGTCCATTCTCTTCTTATAAGTACGTAAGAGATCAGCGCAGGCCTCACAGCTCCTCAATCTATAGTCCATATCAAGCAATCATTATATTAATTGTATGACAATTATTACCACAAATTTGACAAACCTTTCGATTGTAGTCGTCTCACAATTAGCCCATCTTTTAGTTAGATTTTTGACATCATCTTCAATGCGATTGACATCGGGATGGGTGACAGCCTTAGGACGCGTTCGCTCAACAATTCGTCTAACTTTGTTAGCGCTGACGTTGAGCTCATCGAAAGTAGATTTACTTCTTTGGATATCGTTCTGGGAGTCGACGAGTTCGCTGTGGACACGTCTCAGCGCCACCTCATCCGCCGGCAAGTCATCGCCAGACGCCAATTGGATCTCTACTTTAGTGACCACTTGAGTCACTTTCTCCAGATCTAAGAGAGCGGTTTCGACGGTCTTCAAGCGCTCGATATAGAGTTGCGAAAGACTCCAAATCCTATTCCACGTCTCGAGGATCTCATCGTAGTTTCGTTGGACGGCTTGTGTTTTCTGAGGAATGTTGTGAAACAGTTCTTTCACTCGAGTTATTTCAGACTCATATGATTTCGTGTCGATTTCCCATTCTTTGTGTTCAATCACAAGCGATTCCAATGAGTCGCGATCTCTTGGGATCGGGTTTTGACATCTTTGGACCAAAATTCTCTCCTTTTCGGTCAATCTTTCCAATAGAGTAGAGGCGGCGTCCGTATACTTCTGAGTCAACGCTTTATTCGACTTCTCGTCCTCTTCGGCTCGCCTTCTGGCGTCATATTCGGCGAACTTCTTCCTTAAAGCGTTCATTTCGTCGCGCAAACGCTGAGAGTCGGGATCATTGGGCGGTCCCTCTCGACACAGTTTCTCAATGTCGTCGTCCAGCGCTCTGAGAATAGAGTCGCGTTGGTTGGGATCCATTGCGCAATAAGTCGGGTAATCCCAGCCCTTAACGATCTTAAGTGTGGCAAAAATCATATTCTGTCGGAGCTTATGATGCTTTCGGGCCCAGAGGAGGACCAGAGCTTCGTAGCGCTTCTTGAGTTCATTGGCGGTGTCGATGGCCTCCTGATCAGGCGGTGGGATCACAAAACACACTCCCGGAACGCTCAGCTCATTGCCTGTGGATGTGGTGACTCTCCATTTGGCTCGTTGTGAGTTGTCGTGAAGAGTGACGCTTTCGTTTTTGGTGATGGTATGTCCCGCCTGTTTGACCAGACATACGGACCGCGCTTTGATCGGTCGCGGAAGAGCTGCCTTTCGCTGTTTCAGTGGCGCCACATCCTTACTCTTTGAGACCAAATCGGACACAACAGAGCCGTATCGGGTGATGTCCTCTTTCAGTCGATTCATTTCCTTCAAGAGCTGCTCTCCGTCTTCTAATGAAAAGCTGGACTTACTATAAGTGGTGTTGAGTTTGTCCTCCACTTTAGAGAGCCATTGGTCGCACTCTCGGGCTTCGTTGTAGAATTGGTGATAATCGCCTGCAGTCTTGGAATGAACTTCCAGACAGTTGACGAGCTGCAGAAGCCATGACCATTGAGACTGCATGCGTGCCATAAGGCTTTCGATGCATTTGGTGGCCGGATGTCTTTGACGGATCAAACTTTCGCCCCTTTCCTGAACCACATTGAACTGGTGTTCGCGTCTCTCCATATCACTGATGAGCTGCCGATGCGATTGTTCCACTTCTACCAAATTAATACTCTTTGAACTCCAATCGCGATTCACTTCCACCTCTTCCTTCTCTGCCAACCATTTTAGCTCATTATTGGCCGATTGGACGAAGTCTAACAGAGTGTCTAAATCACTCAATCGCTTGTTGGACATCACCAAGAGTTCGGAGTATCCCTTATGGAGTCTATTCAACATACGAGTGTAAACCTCGTACTCCTCGCCTTTAAACTCGTGCTTCTTTCCATCGCATTGGTCTACTTTGCTCTGGAACTGATCGATCGATCGGTGTTCAGTCTTTTGCTGTTCCAGGAATTCCTTCACAGACTGCAAGTCGTGGCCGAAATCGAGTCCTTCAAGTTTCTTGAGCTTCTCCTGAACCCATACAATGCATTCCTGAAGGAATCTAAAGGACGGATATTTCGCTATTAACTCCTCTTCGGTTAATGGCTTTCGAAGAGCTTCGGCACGTCTGGCGGCTAATGCGTCGACCACTCGGGTCTGGAACTCGAGTTTCATGTCAGCCCATCTCTGGTGGAGCTGTTGTACCCGATTGTGGAGTTCAGTTGCCTTATGATAGCGGCCCTCGCGAAGGGTCTGCACGTCTTTAAACATATTCTTAATGCGTTCCTCTTCTTGTCTGAGTTCGGCTTCGATTTTCTCAATATTAAACTTCGTGTCCAACGGATGGAGTCTTTGGACGCGTTTCTCTTCTTCGACAATCTGTCGCTCGATGTCATCCAATTTGATGTCGCATTGCTTTATGTCTCGCAACAACTTCTCAGCCAAACGATGCAATTTCTCCAATCGTTGGACCTCTTCATTGATCGCGTGATCCCTTTCCGAGTGAGCGGTAATCACTTTATTCCACTGGTGTTCGATGTTTTCAATCTTATATTCCTCTTCAATGCGATGATGACCTCCGGGCAAAGCGGCCACCATTTTAGTGATGTCTTTATAAGAACTCGCCAGACGTTGCTTATCGTGAAGTCTCGGCGGAATCTCTTCGATTCGGAAGCGATTGTTCTCCTGTTGAAGGACTTTGAGTTCTTGCAAAGTGTTGGGAAATTGTCGTTCGCGAAGCCGTGAAACGCTTTCCCGCATCCAAACGCATAGACGACTCGCCAACTCTTTGTACTCATCGATGCGTCGGATCCTCTCGAGGTCTAAGAGAGGATTGTGATCCGGAGGTTCGGGGAATAACTCGTACAGCCCTGAGATATACGTGATGAGAGACTTCTCGTCGGGATGCGGTGTATCTACATCTTCGGGGTCCAGAAGTCGGGTAACGCCTAAGTCCTTATCGGCGATATGGAAGGCATTCTCGAGGTTATCGCGAGCGGTTCGTCCCCTACACGAGCGGTAGTCCAACAAATCAGGCCTAAAATATATTCAATAACAATGTTTAGTATTAATAATAGTTTAACAATTAATAAAACAATTAATGCAAACCTATTGCGATGAAGAATGGCATTAAAGGCGAGTCCATCCCTCCAGCTTTGAGTAAAGTCCGTGACTTTAACGCCGGGATAGCCTTCAGTGGTCTTCTGTGCCCACCGGAGAAGAGCCTCTTTGAAAGAATGGGTGTCGTCGTGTAATACGATGTCTGACAGCTATTTACAAGCAATTGATTAGATTACGACAAATCAGTCATTTAAGTGAAATACAGTAATAAAAATATTTATCAAATAAAAGACAATTTAAGTAACGACGCGAATGAAAACCATTAATTATAAACCCATTACTACTGAATAATTGTCACAAATAGCGATGAATATTAGTCTTTAAAACAGTTCCCAGTTTTACATAATTGCCAACAAATAAAGGCATTCATTATTGTTTTGAATTCAATTAAACCGAAAACATTATTTTTTGACACATTTTTTTTCTGTAAATGTTATACAAGTTTTCACTTTCAGTGAGTAATTGTTGTTAAAATGCCATACATTTGGTATGAAATTAAAAACAGTTCCAAAGAGATGGCAAAGAAGTGTTGAATGAGTGGGCGTTGGGAACGCATTCAAGCGATTCAATACCTCTTTTGGTAATATTCATCCCATTCTCCTAAACATACCGTTTGTTTCTGTTCTCCGCGCGTAACTGTTGTTGACTTTCGGACCACTCGTTGCGTGTGAACCGTCTTCAGGCCATTCCTGGCGCGAGAACTGGTGAACGTCTCTCTCGACTCTTGAGAGGCAGAAGCCATATGAGTCTTGGTCTGCAAATCCATGGATTGTCTTTCGGACTTCTCGTCAGCGACGAGCTGTCGTTCGCTCGAGTCGTGAATGTTATCGACATCTTCTTTATCACGACTGCCCCTAAGGAACAGTCGGTTCCCTTTAATGAACGAATACATGGCTATTGATAGCCAACCGATTGATTAATCAATAAATTATTTAATTGAGACTTCAATCGGAACTATTAACTGAATTGTCACTGAATGGCACTTCACGTCTCAGATGGCATTCATTAAGAGAAAAGACACAAAACTTTTTTGTTTATATTATTTATACACTGAATATGAATGGTATTGAAGGAGTAGTGGAATATTGAGATGCGTTTAGTGGCTCTCAATGGATGTGTTTAAACACGAATCCAAACATTGTCTGAATTGAAATGAATTTTTCAATTTTCAAATAAAATGAGAATTTTATGAAAACCTGTCACGAAATCTCATTAAACCAATAGTGATATAAACCGAACCAAAAGTGTCCGCCTCTTCAACAACAACTGTTTATAGGCTCTGGGAATGCAATAGAAAGTTGAGACACGTTTAAACGTGTCTACAATACCTGTAACACAATTGTACTCCTCTTGTAATACCTGGCGATGTGTGTGTGCGGAGAGTGAGTGTGTGTTTGCAATCAATTTTGAAGTTTACTTTTCAATTGTAAACATTTAAAACCCACTAATTTTTGAGCAAAACACTAATACAAAGACAACAGTGAGCGACGGCACAGAATATTCTCCACCCATTGCTGTGCCGTATATTTGATGCCATTTAAGGAATTGATTCTCAATTTTTAATTGTGAAAAACCTTGCAATCGGTTTATGAGTGGGATTTCTTCAAAGACTATTTGTGTCAAAGGTTTGACTAATTATTATATATGAATGAATGAAGAGAAGAAAATATTGAAACAAATTTATGGGTATATTTGGGCCAATCCTTGAATGTGTTTTTTGCATAGATTACACACACTTTTACGTTGTCATCATTGAGAAAAACACCACAATTATAGTAAATAAGTTAATAAATAAACAAAATATTTAATAACGTTATAAACAGATTGTTTGTCGAGAAATGGCACCAAATATATTGAGTTTATAATAAGAGCACTACTATTATAGGAAGTATTCACTTCGATATGAATGGCATCCAAAAAAGTATTCTCTAACGACTGAGAAATGATCAAAAGTTTACGTGAAATGCCTTTTGGCTCAACAGGTATTCAAAGAAGTTTTTCGGTTCGCGAATAGCAATAAAATACAGCAATACTAATACATAGTGTACTGTAATAATGATTAATATTGTTCGCTATCGACATCTCTATGACGAAAATCAAGTTCCCGTCCCTTCCCTACCCTTCCAGCGCTCTATCGCTCTCTCTTTTTGGTCTTTTCACTTCAAATATTGCATAACTGAACCAGACTTTCAAGTTTGGACTCGTATCTAGTCTTACAAGGAGTGCATCGATATAATAGTTTACTGAATATCTTAAATGCCATAAAATGCTATTTGATTTTTAATGGTTTTCATTCTCGCGTTCATTTGCCGTATTATAAAATATGTTATAAAAAATATTTTTCGCTTAATTGAGTGCCTTCTCTAACCTGAAAGTGCAATATTATTGTCCAAATAAGGCCTAACGTTAGCTTTGGGTTTCCATCCACTATATCATCGGCTCTGATGTTAACCAGTTTTATCTGTTATAAGAGAGAAATACATTCACTTTTAAAATACTGGAGAAGAATAATCGCATGCATTGATAGATATCACGAAATATTAATGTTTCGCTAATTAATAATCGTATATATTGTATATTATATTCTCATTTGTGGCATTTAATATTCAATGGATTCATACCTTTCGACGCTTTAAGAAATCGAGACATATCTGAATGTTTTGCAACATATGAACCCTCATCCGCCCCCTCTCACGAGACTGCAATCATATATTAATAAAACATAAATCACATTCAATTAGTCGACACCTGTATGCAAATTGTCTACAGGTATTTGCCATCCCATAACCTCCCGATAGTACTCACCAGTGTTTCCCCCGATAGGACTTCCAGAAGTGATATAAGATTGTGTCCATCGCGCAGATCTTCAAACAAATCGACCACTCCTTTGGTAACCTATTATTTAAATTAATTGACAAAAACAAAAATCAATTATTGATTTGAAAATCGTATTCATTCCGCAATATTAATCACGAAAGTCATGCAAATCGCTTGAAACTACTTATTGTTTAACTCATTATTAAGTAATGAGAAAACTTTTTCAAACAAAAGGGAAACTTTTTAAAACAAAGTGAAAACAAAAGTCAATTAAAAACTTTGTGCACTATTTTTTCCAGCATTTAATCAATTATTTTAATTTCAAAACAAATGAGAAAAAATAAAAATCAATTATTCGTACAAAAAAATGACATAAAAAGGAGAATAAATGAATTGAAATCACATTGAAATCAAAAATAGAAGGTTAAGTAAAAGGCATTAATCTGATGGTAATCAGGGACTAACACATCCATAAACGGAATTTAATGCTAATCATAAATACATTTATGTGAAAACCATATATTTTGAAAAAAATAGTTCAAAACATAAATAGATATGAAAATAATCTTAAAAATATACTGATTAATGAAAAAATGAAAATAAAAAACAAATCAAATGTCAAAACGTCAGCGCAAATGAAAAGGAAATATTGATAAACAAGTATAAGTTTCGATGATTAGAGAGTATGAGATAATAAGTGTGTCCGATATTCAAAGAGAGCAATCATTTTAAAAATACATTTAAATTGAAGCAAATGGATGTCTGATCCTATTTGTATGACATTATAATAATACATAATTAAATTGACTTCAAGTATGCGATCACTTTCTTAGCAAATATATAAATATTTATAGATTTCAATATTATATGATTTAATGCTGACTTATATTATACGGTATATTATAGAGAAGAGAGGATGAGTGGCAATAATAGGCGATACCTCTCAGAATCTGACAACTCATTCAACATTTTAGATAATTGTTTTAAGACGGAAGAACTCTATGAATATGCGATAAATATGCCATAAAGTGTCTAAAAATTATTTATTGAATGAATTTTCAAAATTACTCAAATATTTATTGGGTTTAGATAACAATCAAATATAAATAAAAGTAATTAATTGGTTTGTAATTATATCTAACAATCAGTCTTTGAGATATGGGACACACTTTTATTGAATGAACACTTACTTCGTTATTACATTCAGAGAAACAGTTTTCGTTACAAACGTGTAAACACGTGTACGTCTGGAGGCATTGTAAGGGTTAAGGAAGAGGAATATAGCAAATATTTTGTTAAAATAGTTAACATTTTTTCAAATTATGTACAAAAAGTAATTAATTACAAAATCGGTGAATACCTCAGTATAGATCCAGTGCTTTGTTTATGTAAGCGTTTTAAGTGAGAAAAATGTTAAATGCATATAATGTTAATAAATCAGTTAAAAGTCAGAATAAATGTTAAGTGCTTTTCAGAAAAAAGTATAGAAAATCTATAATAAGCCCATATATTATACTTTGAAGTCTTTACAATTCTAATAATTAGTCTTTAAAAAAATATATTAAACAAAAACACATTATTTTCTATTATAAGTTAAAAGATATAATATATTTGTTGTCAAAGTAATAATAAAGTCATAATTCACTTATGAATACCTAAGAGATGACTGAATGCTCTGAATTATGCAATAAAAACAAAACTATAGGATTAAATGTTAATAGTTTTACAGTTAGTTTTGCACATAATTTATCTTATATTTAGTTAGGATAGAAAATGATAATACATTTTGACAGAGATTGCAAATAAAGATATCAGGTGTTGAGAAATGAGCAGGATGCAGGGGGAGAGTTAATGTAGCATGTTTTGGTTGGGGTGGTGTCGATATGCTTTTTAAATACACAATAGTGTGATAAAAATGGGTTAATTTATTTGATTCAAACATATTTGACTCTATTTTGGCACAAAAACCTAATAAATGCCACATTTTGTAATATATTGTTTGTATTAAACATTTCACACAATATTTTTCCGAATAATTCTAATAAAAGCAAAATTCTTCTCATTAAGAAGAATATGAGATAAACTTATGGGATTTATTCATAACTGATATCAGTATAAAACCTATAACTCAACTGTGATTTAAAGGGTATTTAAAATATCGATAATTAAATATAAATTTAATAAACAAAGATATAACACTTTAGATTCTTTGTATCCTTGAAAATCAATTGTTATTTGTTTTATTATGTTAAACTATAATAAGCCATAAATAGTGAACATATTTACACTTTTTAAAAACTTTTACCATATATTGATAAATGAATTATATTTTAATTTTATGACAGAAAAGCAAACAGAAAATCTACGTAAAAAATATTTTTTGTCAAAAACAAGAATATTATTAGTGTTCGGCCTTTAAATCCTAATAACAAATAATATATGAATAAATAAATTCAATGGACTTTAACGACAATAAAGTGAATTTCAAAACTCAAACAATATTAGAACCGATTGTATGGAAATTCTAGTGTCAATAGAGATATCGTTTGTTTAAAACATAAATTTTACATAATTTTCTGAGCGAAAGATAAGCCAATGTTGCGAATCAAACGAATGGTATGAGAAATAATCGAGAATTAGTTCTCAGGTGTGAAATAGAGAATGTATTTCAAAAGTCGTGAATATAATTATTATTTTGATATCGAGATAATCATGAATTAACAATTGGAGTGTCGGCTGAGCACAAGGTCTGACAATGGAGTTTTGGTGGCCCCCAGAGCCATATCAAGCCTACTCTACCCGATAATTCAATTTGTCCCCCAAAACAAGTAATCGTGGGCTCAATGAAGACCTTTGTCTATAAAAACGCTAATCATATTTAGCCGAAAGGTAGCCAACAATCGGTGAAATAAATCGGCCAAAAACACAATTAAACTCATTTAAAAACGAAATAAAGTAATGCCAACTGTTTATTGCGGTTGAAATGATTTATATACAATTATTTAGATTTTATTTATCTGTTATATAATCTGAAAATCTAAATAAATTATGACATTTGAAACAATCGGTTATTAAAAAATAAAGAAAAATAAGTTAAAAATAATTTATACAAAAGCCTTGAAATGAAAGCAACGGATATTCACATCATTTAATAATGAGAATCAAAAATATTCTTTTGAAATCCTTATTATAGATGCAATGTTTTAATAATTGTCTAATTAGTGGAGAATCCGTTTCAATTGCATATTATAATAAATGTCTAAATTGTTTATTTTCACTAAAATAACTGTTTGTGTAACAAATAAAAACACTTAACCATCAATTTGTTGGCATAAACGCCGAAATAGAGCACAGTTTGTATCGGAATCTCGCCGTCTCTTTGTCTCATCAAATATGGTTAATATCTCATTGACAGCCCTTTACATACATTGCATGACTTAAATGCATAACATATTTACGACTAAAAAACTTCTTCCCAAACACTAAATTGGCGACACATTGAAGGACAACAACTATTTTAATTGTGTTTGCGTTTAAACACCAAATTATAAATTATTTTTAAACTCTTTCCGATAAACGGTTTAAACAATTGCTTTTAGAATATTATAATTGAAAACTAAATAATTATTAACTCATTGTCTTTAGGGCTAAAGAAAAATGGATTTTATTCACTCATTATTGTTCTGTTAATTGATTTCTATATAATATTCTGTGGAAACAAATCAAATGATTTCGTAAAGATTTCTCTCATCACGAAATATTAACGCTAAATATTAGACATTTGTTAGCGTTAATCATAACTATCGTTAGTAATGCTAAAGTATTTTCAATTCTATTTAGTTATGAATATTCAGGAAATGAGAGAAATAGCATATTCTGTAATTTGAATCAAAGAAATAACTGACTACAAGAGCTTTTGTCACAATTGATGACTATTTTTATAATAAACAATACACTGTCGAGAAACATGTGTGTAATATACTGTTCAATAGTATTTATCATAGATTTTATCCACAAATACATCAAAAATTTTTATAAAATTTAATGTTTAATGAATCAAAAGAGGGAGAGAGAGAGAGACAGAGAATATCCGGAAAGTATTCAAAAACAAAAAACAGTGAGAGTTTCACATGAATTGATAGGACAACACAATTGTGTGTTTATATAAATTATAAAATATATAATAAAATGGGAGTAAAAAATACTATCATAAGAGAGAATAATTACATTCTGAACACAATTCGCATAAAATTTCACGATTTTTTAAATACACTTTTTTACAACAATTTAACGAATAAAATAATTGTTGGAAAAACTATTCAAAACGTATTGTCATTGGCTTCTTATGAGAAGAAAAATAGGGATTAAAAAACTATTTAAATGCTAAATGTTAATATATTCTGCAAGTAATTTATATTCAATATAAAAAACAAAAATACATTATTTAAATACAGAGAAAGAATCAACAAATTAATAGCATTTAGTATTGTAATAAAAAGATCATTTCATACCTTAATTAGATGTTTATTAACCCATTTAGTGAACGTTTTCTTCTGTATGGCATCCCTTTCATCTGTTTTAATATACAAAATATGCACAAATTATTAATTATTTTATTTAATTTCATAATTATGTAATCAGAGTATAATTTTACACCCATTTCTATCATATCATAACAATTTGGTTAAACAAAACAATTTATGATATGAATGTGAATAATGAATACTTGTGTCAAACAAATGTTAAACACAAGTGTCAATAAAATCTGTCAATAATAGTGATTATTGTGTTAATCAATACTACGATTAGTAAATCATGTATTTTTATTGACATATAGCCTATGTGTACATCAAAATGCATGTGAAGGTCAGATGGGGGAGAAAAGGGGTCACAATAAGTGTGTGTTAAATATGTTAATTAATAGCCCTTAACCGCATTTATGCCGTTACTAACGGCGCTCTACTGTATTGGACACGTATAGAGAGGGCACAGATATGTGCGAAATATTTACAATATTATCAATACTCAATAATATGTCATAAAAATAAAGTTTTGGCCGAATATAATGGCCACCAATTATACAGACCTTTGGCCTCAACGAGACAGGACTCGTACTGTTGAAGACTGGGGTCGATATCGTCATAATCTATATCATCATTCATTGTGTCGATAATATAGATGACAATAGAAACAAACTTATAGAAAACTCTTCACTTAATTATTTTATTATCACTTTATAATAAGACACACAACGAGAACGCAATGCAAATGAAGAGAAAAACAATTTTTGGGAAAAAAGTTTACTTTCTATGGGATGTAAACAATGATTTTGACTATTTTTCGAGACTAAACACTAAACACGATCTCAAATGGTATGGAAGAGAGAGTGTTAGGAGAGGGACAGAGAGAGGGAGAGTTAGTTTAGTCGTCGGCACCAAATACTTTCCACCCAATACTCCAATCGTTGTGTATATTTGAGTCCATTTAAGGAATTGAATTGAGATTTAATTGAGAAAACCTCGCCTTCGGTTGCCTTCAGTTATGAGTGGGAATAATATTCAACACAATGTTATTGCTGTCAATGTATGTAAAAAACTCACAGTTAGAGTTGTCAGAGAAGTTGTTCACTAAATGCACAGTATTTTCACTCTATCTATACCTCTCTCTCACTCTCCTCCTTATCATTCAATACTCTTTTGTGGTAATAATACCACATCTCATATGTTCTCCGCTTTTAACTGTATATCAATATATCAATCATTTTTATAGCTATAGTACAGTATATTCAATAGTAAGAGCGAGAAATATACGTGTGTTTACAGAAGTATACGGCACTCTCTCTCTCTCTCTCTCTCAATGTATAATCAAATACAATCGAAATGTCATTTCAAACAAAACTCAGCGTTAGAAACGTGAATATGGTTTCCCGGCTAACATAACATACACTAATTAACAGCCAAAAACATATGGCATATATGTCTAATCGGCCATAAAAAGTGAGGTTAAAGAGTTGCCCACCACTTCAGACACCCCTCAGAAACCATTCCTAGACTATAAGTATTGGTAAAGCCTTTTATTTGTCTGAAAAAGTGGACTCAATCTGTGGTGTCTTAAACTTTGGACCAAATCCTAAAACTTTTAGCCCTAAAAATATGAATGAAGTTTTTGAGTGGAAAAAAGTATTTGCGTTAAATATCGCCCCTTAAAAAGGGTGAGCGATAAATAGCAAACGTATAGGCATTGCATTGCATGGCGTATATCGTTGTGTCCAATGACTTACACATAAGCGTCAACACAAATGTTTTGCTTTTTTTCACGTATCATAAAATACAAACACAACTCGTTATGGCATTCACTCTATGGCTCCATCTCTCAGTTCATTGTTATTCAACGCAAAGACATTGCAAAACATTAGCCGATGTTTTCAATACTTTTTTCCGATGAGATTATATAATAACCAAATCATAAGTTATGAAAGAGACGGCCGTTAAGGAAAAGTTGGCGATTGTATTGAATGGCAAACACAACACAACAGTGTTTAGAGCACTGACTGCGAGATAAACACTTCACTCGTATGACTGACACCGAAAGGGAAATAAATATCAATTGAAAAACTAATCGTTAATATTTAGGCCAATGTTTAGGGGTTTTTTGCATTCAAATCTACATACGGTTTGACGACATTTAGACTAAAGACAGCACACATTTTCATTACAATAAATATTTGAATAAATTAATTAAATGTTGAGATATTAGTTGCAAATAAATAATAAATATATGCATAGAAAAAACAATAACAATTCACACAAATGTTATGTCATTACAATATGTATAACATTTATGATAACATCCGATAAATATGTCCAAAAAACTTATACCCAATATATAAATGTCTGTTTCACTCATTCATTCACTTCATAATAACAGGTAATGTAATAACAAATATAAAAAACTCTTTTCACTGTTTTGTGTTCACTATCGACATCTCTCCTCTCAGATGGCAATCAAGTCCTGGTTTTACTATAACTCGTATTTTTTCTTATAACTTATAACAAGACTTTCAGGTTTTTCATCCCTTCTTCTCATACCTTTCGGTAGATATGGTATTAAAATATACTTCACTTTATAGTACAGTATTTGCAAACATTTCTGGTCTCGAGTGGTTTGAGGAAAGCAATTGTGGTTTAGAGTTAAGCAAACGTTATATGAAAAGACAGTAATAATAGGTTTTCTGCGAATTGTTTGGTAAGGCATCAGAGATATCAGAGATGAAAATCTGTTTTTCCCATTCATTTGATATACCGGTAAAATTGTATTCACAAATTGCTCACAATATTTGATGGCATTCCTCAACCGTAAGCTGTTCTGACACTAAGAGCTGACTCTATCATCATATGTGATGCCTTCGTAAGGAATGGCAAACATTTTTTTTGTGAGAAAAACTATTTTTACAATAAGATCTCAATTATGGTTACCCACTCTCTGAGCCATTTGTCGGTCTAATCGGTATAACAATCATAGGATGAGGTGTAGGTGCCGGTGAATTATTGTATCCGGGAATCACCGCATTTTATCTTCCCTTCAAGTATAACATTAATCCAAAGTAAAGACCAATGGATTAACAATATCTCAAAATATTTCATTTAAGTTTCTCTATCTTATGATTTCATAATAGGAAGAAAATTATATTTTAAAAACAATAAACACTTTGTATAATATACGACATTAATTGAACACAAAACTAGAGCAGAGCCTATATTTAGAGTGAAATAATTCACTTATTAAACAAACATAGAGTTAGTTAATCAACAAAAATGTAATAAACTTATCAACAGTTGAGATAAATTCAAAGGTAATATCGATTGAAGTATTACTTCTATGGAAATAGAGAAGTAAAATGTCATTTGTTTTTTATCTCACATTTTATACTTTTAAACCCTATTTTAGTTTTTTGTTAAATAACTTTCAAAATGCTTATTAAAAATAATAATACAGTCTGCACCGCATTTATCGGTCCCACATATAACGTAAAACCGCCTATAACCGAACATTTTTGCTGCACCGGCAGCTCCTATGGGTATATAACGATAAGTGCACCACTAATAGCAGAATCGGTTATAACAGAATACCGCATATAGCAGACAGTAAACTAATGCCGTGCAATGTTAAACAGGTCCACATATAACGGAAAAGAGTTATACATAAATATAGTTATGGTTACAAACTATTCATCCTCGTATTTTTAATAACCCTGTTGATAAAATAATTTGTAGCGCTTTTAAAATTAGTGTTTTATTAACAAAACGTTACTTCTAGCATGTTTTTACTCATAAATACAGTACTATCTTTGTAAAGTTTGTCAAAATAAGCGCCATTTAGCAAAATGTTCAAAAATCTACTACCGGGAATAATAGAAAACCGGATATAACAGAATACTATTAAACTCACCGAGCGGTTTTGTTAAATGCGGTGCAGACTGTACTTGTCTTTAATGAGACAATATATAACATACAGTAAACGGGATAACAATACAATGAAAGCCATATAAATTTGCACAAAAAAATATAATCAATACCTATACGTATGGAATGTAACTTTTTAAGTGTTAAACAATTGATATCAGTGTCCACTTTCACATCTTTATTATCCACTTCTGGACTATCCGGCGGTTTAGGCGCCACTCGATTTAGAAACTTCCACATCAATCGGCAAACAATTATAAGACTAACGGCGAGTATAGCAGAATCCCTGACATTACTTGACTTATTGTTATCCATAAAACACACTCTCCCATAGAAGTCAGTGTAGACTTTAAACCGATTGAGTGCTTACATTAAAAAGCGATTCGCCTTTTTTACAACCAAATGAGATATATTACACATTAGACTAACATTTTTCCAGTTAATAACAATAAAATTTTATATCACTCTTGAAATGAACTATTCTTGTATAATATTATGCGCCTAATAGTTGCCTCGATATATATAAATGTAAATTCAGTTCATTATGCTCTCCAAATAATGTACTAATAAGTGGCAACTATTGAGGCATTTTGTACATAATAACGATGATATGTACAGTCGAGACATTCACTCATCAAACAATAATCTATAATGAAGTCATGGAATCGATATGAGGAAAGTTAGAGGTAATGGGCGTTCAATAAGGAGATTGTACTGTAAATGTGATAATATTATTGAAGTGTTAAAAGAGTCGTGAATTTGAATACAAATGTCAAAATTTACGGCCATATGTAAAGTGAGGGATACAATCAATTTAATTATTATATAAATATTATATCTCAAATCAATGGTAATGTCTATACTTAGCACAAGTGATATTTAAATTCAAAACATGAGAAGAAATACATTCATTAAATGCCAAAACAGTGATAATGGCTTATAATAAAGAGCAACAGAATGCCTCATAAGCTGCTAAAGTTGTAAATCAAATGAAATTCTTTCGCTACTAATAGTCTATATTATGTTTCTGTGAGAAAGAATTTGGAAATCATGTTAAAGAAAGAAGTGGTTTCTAAGAGATGACTGAATTAAAACAAAAAGTTATTTTAAAAATTACGAGTTATTATCATTGAATAAATTTGACGGAAATTGTATATTATTTTGAAAGTCAATTAGATGTTAGAAAGAATAAATCGCGGGTCAAGGATATGAATGCCTCAAAGGGTTTACACATATCGATGTGTTTCGCTATTTGTTCAGTGAATTAATATTAAATATATTAATGCATCAAATATTTTATTCAGAAGTCGTTTCTAATAGACTAAGAAATAACACTAATTCTAATATCAATTGCATTCTTGAGACAAGAGTGGAGTCACAAAGAAATGAAAAAAAGATAGCATTTTAACAGTTGAACAACAAATAAATTATTCCGTGAAAAACTGCTAAAATTCAATAATAATTAAATTTAACGTTTTCTCGAGTAATAAACAAATATTTTAAAATAAAAAAAGTAAAATTTATAGTTTTTCTATCGTTTAAACACACGATTTGAACTAAAAAAACTAAACAACATATAATATAACGTGTTTTGACTGAATTTTATTATGCGATAAGATTTATGTAAAACTCTGAGTTTAGTCTTTTTAAACAATTAATAAGAGATTCTGATATTTGTCATAAAGAAGATCATTAAAATTCTACGAAATCCACTCAAAACACTATTCCATAAGAAATATTTCATAACTATTTTGAAAAAAACTGAAAATACAAAATATCAAAATAAGATAAATTAAAACAAAACGAGAAAATCTCGCTGATCTGTAAGTAATGTAAATTTATATATGAAAGTGATGTGAAAGCAGGCATTAACTATCACTTGAATTGATTGGTAATGAATTGGAGCAAAATTAGCGGAAATGAGGCCAACTATTGATCATATTATGGGAAATAAGATACTGTTATAACATATAATGGGAAACATAATTAAGAAATCAATGCTTTTCGATCTATAGGCAGAAATAATGGTGTGTTTGTAAGGCAAGGCTGATTAGCAGGTGATATGAACGCAATTTTGACCACATTTCTCAAGTGAGAAATATTTGAGAAAACGTGCCCTAACTGCCAGTGTCTGCATAATATGTTTGCATTTATTACTTTATGGCTCTCTTTGCAACATTAATAGTGTTTTGATTGTAATTAAACATTTTGTTAGTTTTATACTTAATATACTTAACATACGTGTATTACATATGCTTAATATTTAATACTTAATGTAATTTATAATAAAATCTTATAATCTATTCATTAGCTAATTATTTCTCAATCCTTTAAACACTTTATGTAAATAAATCGAAGAACAAAAACAAAACAATAAGTAATTCATTGAAGAGTTTGCTGTAAACTGAAGAGGAAGACTGCTGTCAATGTCAATGATATTGATAGTGAATGGTATGTATAATTGGTAGGACTGGCAGGTGTTTAAGTGTTTCCACCAAAACATTAGATGATAGGAGATATTAAGTGAACACAAAAGCCAAACAAAAAAAAACAGCAATAATTCCGCAAATATTTCAATTCGTGTTTAATTATTTGTTAGCATTTTTTACTATTAATTACACAACAATTCCGTAATAATAATACCATAATAATAAAAAGTCAGATATTGATCATTAAAAATTGAGTAAAAATTTATTAAAACTTAAAGCGAAACCTTGTGTTCAACGTAAGCATAAAAACGGATTTAAAACCTTTTTGACAAAACAATTGAATTGAAGACAATTGTGAATACGATTTTTTGAGTGGCGATAATAATTCGTGTGTAACTAAACACAGAACTAAATTATAAGTTTTAATTCTCTTAAATAATAGCCTATCGATAACACAATAGTTATATAAGTGAAAATTAATTTTTAATAACAATAATCATCATTTAGTTGTTTCTATATTTGATATGCAATTAAAAAATGAAAATCGTTGTAAATTGAAATCAAATTACATGTTTGCCGTCGATAAAAACCCCATCACATCCTCTATAAACAGGATTGTCATCTAATAATCATAAAATGCCTTACATTTTATGTGAAAAACAGTCGTATAATTAATTGAAGTGAAGTTTATGTAAGAAAACTAGAGTACAATAACTTCGGATCCATACAAATATGAGACTAATAGCAAGCGCTGACACAACACATAGTGTATTGCATTCGTGAAGAACCGGTAGTTGTTTTTTGCGAGAAAATACAGACAAAATAATAATAAAAGTAGTTTTTAAAAAACTTTTCCTTTTATTTGATCGGTTCAGTGATTTAGTGAGTCCTGAGTTTTTAGGCCTAAACCTAACCTCAGGTTCTCATTAGTTTGAGCTGAAGTCAGAAGCCGTGACGCCATTGATTAGAATTAAAGGAACGACTCCTTCGACAATGACTTTGGAAAATGAAAAATAAACTAAATATTAGATTGTTTTCCAACTCTCATAAATCATAGATCGGAGTAAATCACGTCAGCCTTCCATATGATGGGAGAGAGAGAGAGAGAGAGAGAGAGAGAGAGAGAGTGGGATGGGAGAGAGCAGGAGAGAGAGCAAGAGAGAGGCCAGGGATGGGGAGAGAGAGATAGTGTATAGCATATGAGGAGAGAGAGAGAGAGAGAGAGAGAACGATGGGACAGAAATAGCGCTTCACATCAAAAGGCCTCTGTTTTATAGGAATAAATACTTGAATTTTATTTTCGTTATACAAATGCCATTGACATGAAATGCATTACAAATCTTGTTGTTCAGCCGAGACTCACGATAACAGAATATGTTATAAATCTTGTATTACAAATGCAATACTAATCAAATATTCTCATATAATAAAAAATCACTAATTTCTGTCATATTCTGTCACAAAAATGTTCAGATAATAACGACTACTCATATGTACTTTTCTTCTCTAATACTTTACAACAAATATGTGATTCGTTTACAACACAACACCCAAAATATATCTCACATTCATTATACGAATCTCTATTATATGCCTCTTTTATTGTCAATTTATGACACAAATGCCGATTAATGATAACGACATCACTATATGAAAGGAATTACTTAAATAAATATATAATTAAAATCCTTGAAAATTATATATAAATATCGATATAATAAAAGAATACAAAAATACAAATCAAAAACGTTTTCGGGAATAAATAAACGAATAGAGGAGTAAAACAAATAGTAAAATATTTATACAAATGATTTGATGAATACATGATTAAAATTGTATTCAAAACCTAAAGAAAGCCTAAACTACAAGATGTCATGCGGTGTTTAACGTACTTATTATTCAGACGACCACTGCATTCAATAATAATAATAATAATAAACTAAAAGTGTGTTCAAAAAAGGTTGTGTCAGTATTTGCGCTGTAAAGGTATGCCTGACTCGTGAGAATTGGATAGCATTGTCGCCAAAATGTATTAAAAACTTTTTTATTATTAAACCTTTGAAAAAATATTTGATTTTTATCACATTAGGTGTTGAGCCCTATTATGAGATAATACAAGAATGACATTCAGTTTTGCCATTATTTTCAATACTATTTAACGGTTTTAAACTGAATACTGATTTTTACATTTATAAAAATAGAAACCATTCATACGATTGGTATTCAATGCGAGAATAAACGGGAAAAACACAAATAGTTTGATGAATAAAAACTACTTTTTTCACACTATTCTGCTATTCTTAACACCGATTTTTAAAGAATGGGAACAAAAATGTTTTTATTCGCAATTATTTAGGGATAACTTGATTGTTGAGATGCTTTTGACAGAATTTTATGCAATTCTTTGCATTGGATTTATTTCGGAAGAAAACACTAATAGAGAGATCGAGTCCTAAATGTGTAAATCCTTTGAATTCATTTCAATGTTTTTACGCTTTATTTTCAAAAACAATTTCGAGTCAAAGAAGAGATTCATAAGAGAAGAATTTTAATCGACTTCTAGATTAAGATCAAAGTTATGCTCAGTTTATCAAAAGCTATGATTTTTATCCAAATTCTAAAAATACAATTATTTTCTAAAAATATCAAAACTATTTTTCAGGAAAAACAGAAAACATGTGAAGAGAAAGAAAACACAATAATTATTCACAAAATAATTGTCAATAAATTTATGACTTTTTAAATGATAGAAATGTGCGAAAAATGCAAATATAATGTTAAACTTCAAGTGAAGTCAAGAATTAAAATTATTATTCATACTGTTAAACTTCGTAACTTAGATCCTTCGATCTTAGATTTTTGCCTATCTTAGAGTCAAACTCTTGGTCCCGATTCACTTCATAGAAGCCTAATGTTAAATTCCCTCATATCTTAGACCTTCTATCTTAGACTTTAGAGTCATTGTCTGGGACCCAATAGGTCCGTGTGTGCCTCTTATCTTAGAATTACCAAAATTGACAAAAATAACGTCATTTATTTGTATTTCTATCTGAAATCTTCCCTTTAATCTTAGAATTTCAGGCAGTTTTTTCCTTTTATCTTAGATTTATCCTTCTATCTTAGAATTTCAGCGATTTTTATTCTTCTATCTTAGAATATCAGCCATTTTTGCCCTTTATATTAGATTTTGCTATCTTAGAATCCTTCTATCTTAGAGTCATTTCCCCGGTCCCGACCAGGTCTAAGATCCAAGGTTTAACAGTATATCTTATGGAAAAGTCAAACGTTTAATCCAGTTATTAGGGAATAACAAAACATAAATTGGGAACACTTTTGGCACTCAATATGAGTGTAATATTGTGTTAATAATAGAGGAATGAGTGAAAGGCGCAGACATACCGGCTATAAATAGGACTATCCTATCGGCCGCATCCAACTGAAGAATAGACAAGGGCTGCAGTTTTAGCCATTCCGTTATCACTGGGAAGTCTTGCATGTGTTGATCCATAGGATAGTTGCCTAACAGCGGATACCATACGTGAAAGCGATCGGCGGACAGTCGTCGGGAGTGGTAGTGGTTGTCGGTGTCGTCGGCGATGGCGGCGAAGTCGATGACGACTGGTCTCGCATCCAATGCTGCGTTTGTGCGAAAAATGTCAATAATATTAGTGCTGTAATCGTGACAATAGAGGAGTTCTTTGGTATTGTTGTTGTAGAGATCATGAAGACTAGAATCGGTTATATATTTCCTCAACGCTTTAGAAAACACTTTTATTTCAATGAATGTCCGCAACAATAGTCTAAACGGCAATAATATAAGACCACTATTGCTGTCGACGGCTGTGAACAGCCATTACAGCCAAAAATACAACCAAATTTAGAGCCAATTCACACGTTATGTCTGATTGCGAGACACGGATTCAGTGTAACAGTGAAGGCAATTGTGAGAGAATATTATGTTTTAAAATGTGGTAAATATGAGCGCAAGGGATGGGAGAGAGCAGGAGAGAGAGCAAGAGAGAGGCCAGGGATGGGGAGAGAGAGATAGTGTATAGCATATGAGGAGAAAGGCTTACATCACAGATATGCGCAAAGAGAGCGCACATACTCTCACTTCCAGACAATACTTCCAGTGATGGCTATTTTTCGGATCCACTTCTTCTTCACAGCACTTATTATTATTAATAATCGCTTTTAATAATCAATTTCAACAACAAATTTATTATTAATGCTTCAATTATTTGTATTAAATTCAAGCCTATTGTCAACTGTTATCAAATGGCTGTACAATCGATAGTATAATCTTTGAGACCTTTAAATTCACTTTAATTATTATTATTATTATTTTAATTGCTGTTATTATAAGTAAAAATATATTTAAAACTTATAAATTACGGTATAATTAGGGGATAATTATATTATAAATAATTTATAAAAAAATGTAAATTAAACCACAATTTATGTGATGAAATATTTATCGATGAAATGCTTTGAAAACACGTTTAAAAACTGTTTAATTAATAATATTTACTGTTATATACAGTATATCGTTGACTACTGTTGTGTTAAATGAGTGCCAAATCAATATTGAATATAATTTAATCGATATATTAATGAGGAAATGAACACAATTTATGGCATCACTTGATATGAATGAATAAAATAAGCAAATAATTTAATTTAATGGTAAAAGTGATTGTCTGCACAGGTATTGGTCGTAAACCGTATGTAATATCAATGTATGACTTAATTGCTGAGCCTTTTATCACAATCGGAGAGACACTCAAAAGTGGCTTTTTTTATAAACACAAGTATATATTAAATGTGTTATAAATTAATATTCAATATATAATACTCTCTATATTTTATGTTATATTCAAATCACTGGTATTTGAAACATAGCAACACATTTGGCTGTTATGTTTTGATGTGGTTTTCCGTTACAATCAAATACACTATTTATTAGGAATTATACTTTCAATACTCGGAACGATATAACGATATAAATATACACTATATTTACAACAATTCAGACGACAATTGAATTAAAAACAGTTGTGAAGATTTCATTTGATGGCCCGTTTCTCGCATAGTATTAGATGTGAACACGTTTTCAATGTGTAAAACGGATTGCTTTCTAATCAATACTGTATTGACTACAGTGTAGTGAATATGAAATGATAAGCACATGAAAAGCATAGACACAGTTGTAGTGAAGAGTTGTGATAGCGTTGAGTCACACATACAGACACTCTCCTCGACAGCGATATGTAATAAATGTTGTTTTCAGTCAAACAATTGCATCGATTGTTACTCCAGTCTAACAATCATCGCAACAAACAATTTGCTGTCAAAAACAATCGCTTCATTGCCGACCAAACGTACGGTCACTTTAGCTGTTAGTTTTTTGATACCATAATTGAATGTATATTTTTAGGCAAAACATAACATTTTTTAGTTTAGTTTATATAATACCGAAGTATTAGAAAAGTATAGCAAAACACAAGTGCACTCCCAATGTGTGTGCGAATAGAGTGTATGGTATGGTATGACTCGTGAGGTACACATTAGAGTGCAGTTTCATAATAGTATAACAAATCGATTCATTCGTCACTCTATCGCTCGCATACTGTCTCTCCTCTCACTCTCTTTCATCTGAGACTGAGTTTTAGTTTTAGTTTTTCTCCAAAAATCCAAAACTATGTGAACTTTTTTGCTGCACTTTTGTTCAGTTCACAGATACTATGGTTTTTGTGATGAGATTGTGTGGCGAAGAACTCTGTCCTCAACTCTAATCCAAAAACTCCAAACTCATTGTGAAGATTGAGATGAATGAGCGCTTCAGTCAAAACAATCGGTGCAATAGTTTTGTTGCAATAGTGAACACGCTTTTAGTTTATTTACCTCTAGTGTTGTGAAGCTGTCAGACAGGTATGGGAAGCACCGACCATATGATTCGTGAACTGGTAGTCTATGTTTGTGTAATAATGCACTCTATTTCATAGCACAGGCACTCACTCACACACTAAACACAATATTACATAAGGAACCACTTTATGACACATTAAATACTTAATATTAATATCTAATAGTAAATTAAATCACCATACTAATTTTCATATTTTCTAATTACAGCCAAAAACTAATTACTTTATACAATTATGTAATCCTACCTAGCACTCTTTTTCTGAATTTATTCAGCTAAACAATGTTCAACAAAAAATATTTCTATTTGAACTCTGGGGCCAATTATACCGCAACTGATGTATTTTGATATAGCGTTTCATAACTTTTGTTAGACTTTTTTATATACAGACATGTATTCAAAAGTGAAACAATTATCGCAATTGAGGCGAGTGTTCAGCAGAGGACACACTTTGCCTTCAATTGTTTGGCTATTTTTATTTTGTTTCTAATTGTATGTTATATTGTGTTCGCGTAATACTGTATTCAAAAAAGTGTTGAGGAATAGGCTATGATATGAATCATTTAAATGAATATCATATTATATAATAATATGTTAATAGTGTTATATTAGGTTAATATCCAATACTTGATACCTGTTTGTGAGTAATACCTGTGTGTATATTGTATGCAATCATTATAATGACCACAACAAGAATTAAGGCATAGAAAGAGAGTTGTCATTAACCCTTATGACCATAAATGAACCCGTAATGCATTTATACTCTATTAATTCATATTAACCATTGTATTCACAAATCTATTTACTTTATAACAAACAGTTAGTACTGTAACAGTGTTTTCCACCAAAAGATGTGATTAATTTTCTTTTTAATGTTAATTTAAGCGCAAAACTAATTTATTTCATTATATTGTGTATAAAATGCTGGTATTATCTGGAATTCCTGTTCCCATTCACTGCTCACATCAAAAACAAACTTTTAAATACAGATCAACGATAAGAAGTTTGTTATTAATTTTGTAAATATTTATAAAATTGATTGATTAATATATTTATATTGAGAAATCAATCAAAGCAAACATAAAACGGCTGAAAAAATAATTGCTATCTTTATTAGTCATATAATTATATATTTTTATTAAAGTTAAAACATTAGAATAAAAATGTGATTCAAATATACAATATATTTATAAAATAATTCACCAAAAAATTCTTGTTATTCTTCTGTGGTATTCGGGGGTCTATTCGTGATATTCCTCTTAATGGCCCCAACCGTCCACTCTATACACTCGTTCACACCATCACTAAAATATGCAGACAATTAGTTATCTCTTAATTCAATCATTGGATCAATTGATGTACCCTTTGAGGGCCGAAACGGCCACCGAATGGCAATCTCTTTGACCAATCAATTGACGATCGCTTAAAAATACTTCTTTAATTCGGGACAACGAAAGCGATTCCTAGAGTTTCCCACAAATATTAAATCATTGTTTTAGTCCAATATATCATTCAATGACAACAATATTGTAGGCATTACTGGAATGTCCTGTTTGTTGGCCACAAGAAGCAGCGGAACGCCATTCAGTGTCTCATTTGTAATCATTTTGTCTAAAATGACAAACAATTAATACATTAATGAAAAGACAAACACAACAAAAATGAAGACACAAACCAAAGGCTTGCTTCGAGTCGTCGAGTCTTTCGCGATCTGAAGAGTCGATGACATACAGGACTGCATGGGATTCGGCGAAATACTGGCCGTTCGCGGGAACAAGAAGTTCATTAAATAGGGAACCAATTTGGGCGACAATGTGTGGACACAAACCTTATCCCAGAGGGTCTGCAACTCTGTCTGTCCGCCCAAATCCCAAAAGTTAAGTACAATACCATTGGTGTGAATGCGGCCGATGTTGAGGCCAACGGTGGCCGTGATCTTCGTGAGGGCGACGCCTCTGTACTGATGGTTCAGTTGTGTCTTCGACTGCTCCAGAAATGTGGTCTTTCCGGCGTTATCTAAGCCTAAGATCAACACAAAGTACTCTTCCCTTTGGAACAGATATTTCCACAAACCATACATTAAGGAAAACATTGGATCCGATTATATGTTTCAGATATGACCACAAAATCACTACTTCGCCGCCAATACAGATGAACGCAAAGTTTGTTTCATTTCACTATTAAATACAATTTGTTGAACATTTAAATCAATGCTTTTCTTCATTTAATTGCAACACATGTTTGTGTCAATGAGTTTTGCACTCAAAATGTTTAACGCAATCAAAACAAACCATTGGTTTCCACTATTTTTCATGTAAATTACGTCCAAAACTAGTCATCAATTGAAGTCAAACTAAATTATTTGACAAAACATTAATTTTCTAATTTTGTTTATTTTAATTTTGTTTGCATTGAATCTTAAATCCGATTACAAATTAATAATTTAATTGAAATTCATATCGAAATGATGTATAAAATATATCTTAATCAATGAAATCAATGTCTAAAATACGCAAAACATATGTTCAGTTCATAGGCGATGGTTTGTCAGTCTTAATGGTCTCGAGTTCTTTCATGTCTTGCTTAAGAATGTCGATGAGATGTGTTATGCCGTCCTGTTCTTGCTTTAGGAACGTCTTCAGGTCTGTCGTCAATCCCGTGTCCAGCGATACACACACTCCCGACGGGTGTTGGCTCTGGAGTTGCCTCAACTGAGACATCAATTCGTTGAGACAGCCCTGGAATTTGGTCGGCGCCGACAGTTCCGACTGAATGGCCTCCAGTTTGGCCTTCAGCTGATCCTCTTCGGCCTGAATGGGAAAACCTCTTTTGCGGAGCACTTCCTGAGAGATAATGATTTTGAGGACTCGATTGGAGAGTGCGATGTGTTTGCGTCGGCACTCGTCTAACTTGGATTTGGTTTCCATGACATGTCTTTCCATAGCGGAGACCTCATCGGTGATGAGTTTGAGTCTCATTCGGTGCTGTTCTGTCTCCCGCTCCTGGAGTTTGAAGCGTTCATTAAGTGCCGCAAAACCCACTAAAGGGACGGGAATGAAGCGATTCGGGTCCGGATTCTCGTGCTTCGCCTGAGCCCACAGTCTTTCGTCGATGCCTTTGGGAGGAGTATTGAGGTATTCTTCGAGTTCTTGTTTGGAAAGCTGTGCCATCGGAACGATATTCAAGAATGCATTCGTAAACACATTATTCAACTGATTCCTAATGTTTTGCTGATTAAAGAAGTTTTGCAACTGAAGGCAAGACAACGGCTTATTAGTGGTTGGATCCGTTATGGACAACGACAAGACGGCCCTATTCTCGGGCAACACTTTCGTGATCTCCAATTTGATGGTCATATTCGCGCCGATTATTGATTTGAGGTTTTGCTCAAACGTGAGGAGCGATGTCTTCAGTTGCGATTCGTTGCCAACCATTTTGATGAGAAATCCCATCTTATTGTCTGAGTTCTCGTTGGAATCGCTCGTCTTATACTCAGAATAACCGATTGATTTGAACCGATGGGTGGCATCTGATTGGCTGATGTCATACGGGGGCAGAAACGCCGAGTAGTAGGCCTTTCCCGACCCCCAGAAGGCCTGAACTCTGTTAAACTGAGCGATCATATCGTCTCTCTCGTCGTTATAGATCTTTGGGGCGAATATATTAGCGTTGGTTTGGCTCTGATTTGCGGCCATTTGTGCCGTGGGTTGACTCGCCGTCTGTCCCAAAGCGGTTCCCATAAAACCAAACGACTGTTGCGGTCGTTGGGCGCCGAAGAGCGATGTGTTAGCCGTCTGTTGTCCTAACGCTGAGCCGAAATTGAAGGCCGAAGTCTGGGCTGGAGTTGTGGTCGGATTGGAGAACGAGAACTGTGACTGAGTTGAGCCAAACGATGGGAATGGTGTCGAAGAAGTGGTGGCCGAAGACGTGAACGGCTGATACGAGAAGGCATTTGTGGTGGCGTTTGGCGCCGAAGAGCCGAAACTGAAGGGTTGTGTGGTTTGCGGCGCGAAAGCGGGCGCCGATCCAAACGGATTGGTTGTCGCAGTCGTGGCCAACGATGGCTGCGATGAACCGAAACTAAAGCCTCCGCCAGAAGTCATGCTTTGGTCACTCAAACTGACGCTCAAATCGATACCAATTTGTGTGAAATTGGATTTCAAACAACGTTTGGATCATATGTTTCGATGAGTCGTTCAGACATAACGTCACTCTTTTTGGGAATAATAAGTTTTGTTTGTATTAATAAATATCGTTAATAGATATTATAAAAAGTTGCGCTAAAATGAACATGGTCAACTATTGTAATGTTTTAATTATTTCCATTATTACACAGTAAATACTGTCGTATTTGCACTTATTTGAAGGTTTATAAGTTCGTTCGACCCCCTCCCCCACTCTACCCCTTGAATTGACAGAATAAACATGATCAAATAAAAGTCTGCTCTAAACTAATCATCATTTTCCCAAAAAAGCTAATTATAAATCTAATGTATATTCTGTTAAACATATGATTGAATTTATAGCGAAAATGAATCAGTAGTTAAGGTTATCGTCAAAATGTTGGGCAAAAATATTCGTTATATAAATATTATAAGTAAATGAAGTGATAAAGTGCTGCACAAAAACAGTGGAGCATTAACTGTGAGGCAAAGATTGAGCAAAAGCTAAAGCACTTGAATCTAACTTTTATGTAAAAACTCTTGTTGTATCGCATATTAAGTGAAACTTTAGTTCAATTCTGTATTTCCATTCAAACACATCTCATATTCATTATAAATGCCAATCGACACAAAAATGTTTATATATATGAATTGTTTTCTTCACTTAATCGATGAAAATGTCTTAAATAACACTTAAATCATAGGATTGTGTGAATTGTATGGAGAGATGGGAACGGAATCTATTATCTTAGCAGTGATTGTCATTTCGTTGTTTGGTTTCTCACAGCTTTCGCATAAAAGCAAATATATTCTCAAAATCACATCATTTGATAACAATTATTCAGTTGTCGATCAATACATTCCTTTATTACCGCGTTATGTCATTTGGGATAAAGGTTTGCATTTCCTTTACACTTGCATTCATTGCTAAAGTTTTAAAATATTTATTTCCCCGTTAATTAAAATTTAATTAATAAAACTCATTTTGTATAAACTGCATAATAATTGTTTTATAGATTAATAAATACCCTGAGTCATTTCTATGAATAAATTTAATTAATTTTTTAAACCAATATTTTATTTATAAATATTTACAAAATTCTCGTAATTATTGATAATTTTGATACATTTAATACTTTTAAAATGTAAACTTCAATTCAAGTAAACTTTATTTTTGTGACATATAATTAAATTGAGTAAATTATCTAATATTTGTTGACGATTAGGATTTTAATGATACAATTAAAGGAAAATACCGACATTTTATTATTGATACTGTTATCAGGGAATTAGAGGCAAAGTTAGCATGGACAATCCTCCTGTCAAACAAATTATTAATTCAGGTCTCAACAGATAGGATATGTTCTCACAAATAGTTATAATGCACTTTAATCCTAGTTTGTGAGCATATATTATGGAAATGCCAGTATATTTAATTTGAATAATTTGGTTAAAAGCATTAATTTTAATTAATTTAAATAGATAATGAGGGAATTTATAAACAATAGATTAATATTTAAATTAAAAATAAATTATGGCTAAAGATTAAGAATAATCTAGTTTTGACACTATCTTCAGTTCAGTTCATTTACCTTTCAGTGCTGTCTATTTTTATAAATCATTTGACTATTTATTTGTCTAATATTAATATAAAAGTTATAATTAATATTTAGAATTCGTTTTGTGGTTTAAATATTTAATTTTAAACGTTTACTTTATATCAATATAAGAAAATTTGTTACATTTTGAAAGAGTTTTCACTTTTTTATTTGAGAGAAACCGCATTCACTATAGAATGGGTGAATGTAATCGGAGTTTAGTTTAAATCATTGAATGATTTATTTTTCTTTTTAAGATAAATACAGACAACTCTTATATAACTTTGAATCCAATAATAAACGGGAGGCATGTGTTGGCAATATATGCAAGACTTGTATAATTGAAAGTTTTGATAAAAAGTTTTTGTTTCAGTTTTAAAAGCTATAAAACATTGAATTTTGATGATTAGATCAGTTAGTACTGTATAAGACATCAGAATGTGATCTCTCTATTAAGTAAAAACAATTATCTCGTGGAAATATAGTGATGTTAGGAATCAAAACAAACAAATGACAATTTTTCCTTCAAATGAAGTTTTCACCGAAACTTTCACTCTATGATGAAATTTATGTTAGATTATGTTATGCCGTATATCTCTACACGTTATCCTAAAATAGATATAAATGAAAATATTTAGTTTAGAAATCGGAGTCAAAAAGCTTTTGTCAAAAACAAATCCCAAATGAATTTCATATTATTTTAAAATAAAAATCAAGTATTTTATAACGGAAACAATAATACTGTTATTTTAGCAAACCTTTCAGTGTCTACAATATAATGTCTGACAACATTGTGAGTGATGTCTAGTCAATGTCCAGCTTATGACCAAAATATTTTTGCTTAAGGTTTTTAAATAATTAAAAAATTATTTTTATTATATTTGAAACCTTATAATAATTAGTAAATTCATTAAATCATTAATTATTCACACCTATAATAACATGGAATATAATTTTAAATCTAGCTACCCCTTCCCCACTCTATTTGCAAATAACATGAGATTCAATGTTAAGTCTCAGGCTAATGTTATCCTGTGGACAATGCTAGTCTATTGGAGTAATATTATTCAAATTATTATTCAATAGAGTCTATAGTATAGACTATTTTAAAACTCTATAGTTATTAATAATAACACTTACCGTAACTTACATTTGACCAACACTTAAAGCAATTAAAATTGACATTTTTTATCTCAAGAATTTTGTTGTAATCCTTGAGATAATATAGGAAAACATTTATTACCAATACTTATGGTAAGCAATAAAATGTTCTTTAAAATACGTTAAGACTTCAGATGAGAGATAAAATAAACGAAGAGAATAAACGGCCGGACAAATGTCCCGCTAGTTTTGTGCTGATTATGTGAGACAAACATTTATTGTGCAAATGTTTGATCAAAGATTTAAGGACTAAATTAAATTAGATTTTGCGTTCAACCAAATGAGAGAATTTCTATTCAAACAATTTATTACTTTTCACTCAATAGTTATTCACTAAACTGTTAAGGAGTGAGAGGAGAGAGCGAGTGGTGGATTGTGTTGAGTTGTGTTGAGTACAAACTCTTCAGTTGGTGAAACACCCATTGCTTTTCAAAACTAACTTTACAGGTAATAATAGCCTTATTTGAATGTTTAAATCGCAGGCCTTTTGAGCAAAAATACCGAAAGAAAATTAGAGGAATAGTTCAATAGAAAAGAGCGTTTGAATGAATTATTTAAGGTTTGCTTAAAGTCCCACACATTTATGGTAATAAAAACAACACAAACTTTTAGCTGAAGACAAGTTTGGTTTTGCTTTTAGTTCACTTAAGCGTTCAGTTGAATGTGTTTTCTTTTCGAGAGTGTATTGTATGGGAAGAGAAATTGTAGACAAATGTGACCAAAAACACACATAAGAAAAATGTTCCTCATTTCACATTCATTTCTATTGTTATATATATTTTTACATGATTTTACTAATTGTCAAACGGATAATCGATTTAAGCTTAGAAGTGGTGAGTTTTGATCATTAATTCTATGTTTAAATAATTTTTCATTAGCAGATGGTTGAAAAATGTTTGTACATTTCTTTAGCATTTCTTTCTATGGAAAAGTTTTTTAACACTAACTGTACACTACTTATAGCTGTTATGCTTTTGAATATTATTTTATTGAAATGATTAAAACTTATTATATAATAGTTTTTAAAACTTTTATTTATTATTTGTCAAAAACTAATAATTTATTAGTAATAAATTCTTGAATATTTATTTACTTTTGAGATTTATCTGAATATAACTAAATATACCAAAAATTTTAATACTTTTTTAAATATTTTATTTCATAAAAATATTACAAATATTTAGTTTTTTATGTGTAACGAAGAAATGTGTATTAAATTGAGTTTTGTTTGAAAATTTTTCTACTAAATGAAGAGCAGAGACGAGTAATTCAAGTCTAAATTCTTAAATAAACATTTACTCGATTTGTTTGCTAAACAAATAAACACTTTATTTTTTGTTTAATTTAGAAATTTTATTTTTAAAAATTAAAATCAAATCGTTATTATTTGCGAAAATAATGATTTTGTTGTGAATCTGTTTAATTAAAAATATCATATATAACAAAATTTATCATAAAATAATATATTACTGTTAAGCCTAAGAAAGGCAATAAGATTTGAAATCAGGTTTACACAGGTGTAGTGCATAAGCCATATATTGGAGACACATTCCTCCCACACATGACTTATTTTGACTTAAATTGTATAATATTTAGCACTAAATTCTGATATAGTATTGGAGATTAAGTTATACTACAGTACTGTTCACTTATTATTGAGTTACCATTCATAAAAGCATCAATTTATGACTTACTGTAAGCGCTAACCCCTGCCAACAATACCTGAGCACTTTACATGTAAAGCCCCATTATTTGATGCCTGGTTATGCTGTTTGGGGCCCGGGGCTGTTGTACGGGAGCGCACAAATTATCTTCGCATTTGTAGTGAAAGATTTTTACAAATTTTTATTGAAAAATAAATGGTTTTGTTTGCAATACAGAGAGTTCGGAATCATTGAAGAGTCTGTTCCCAAATGTGTTCAACTTAGCGTCTCGTGCTATCATAACAGTGAACGCGACTTGTGGTGAAACTGGTCCTGAAGTTTACTGTAAATTAGTTGAACATGTGTTTGAACGGTAACTATAAATACATTGCAATCATTGAGATATAAGCAAAACACAAATATCACTCGCTATTGAAAAGTTTTCTTCTTATTCTCTATCGCCGAGTATTTCATAGAATTAATTGTATTTACATATTAACTGCAAAACAGAGGTTCAGACCCATCGACCGCACAATGCAATGTGTGTGACGCGACCGGCGGTGATCTGTCCAAACGGCACTCGATTGCCAACTCCATCGATGGCACTGATTCGTCAGTTTATTATTTTATTTCATAAATTAACTTTTAGTAAAGTATTTTAACTTTTGATATATGATATGCCTATTAAGGTGGTGGCAGAGCCCGACTCTACAGAATGGCCGTAAATTTGAATGGATCACAATTACTGTGAATCTCAAACAAGTCTATCAGATCTCTTATGTGGTGATCAAGTCTGCCATATCTCCACTTCCGGGTAATTGGATTCTCGAACGATCAGTTGACGGCCAGACCTATACTCCGTGGCAGTACTTTGCGCTCTCAGATACTGAGTGTTGGGACACATATCGGGTCAGACCAACAATTGGTAAAATTAGATATCGATCCGATGATGAAGTAATCTGTACTTCATTTTACTCAAAAAGTGATGTCATTGAAAACGGAGAAGTAATTTAGTATAGGATCAAGTGTTTAATGACTGCATTTTAATTATTGTTATAATTAACAGATTCACACTTCGCTTATAAACGGGAGACCCGGCACTGACGGACCCAGTGATGCACTCAGAGTAAGAATTTATGTTAATAGAGATTAAATAAACTAAACTAATGTTTATTTTTATATAAATAACAGGACTTTACGAGAGCACAGTTTATAAGATTCCGTCTCCAAAAGATCCGTACCCTTCACTCTGACCTAATCGGAGATCCGGACAAAGTGGACAAATCTATTACACGAAGAGTACTAAAACCTTTATAGATATTATTATAAATAAATTATTTCACTAATAATGTAAATGGTTTTGTAGTTTTTCTATTCTATAAAAGACATATCAATTGGCGGTCAATGTCTATGCAATGGTCACGCAAGGGATTGTAAAGCTCTGTTTGGCTCTCCATTACCTCAATGCCAGTGCGAGCACAACACCGGAGGTCTGACATCAAAGTTAAATATTTGCAATAATTTATTTTCATTCAAAACACTACAGGAATTAATTGTGAGAAATGTCGGCCACTATTCAATCATAAGTCTTGGAAACCGGCGTCAAGTGATTCAGGATTTGTTTGCGAGGGTTCGTCACAATACAAATTTTATATAGTATTAAAACTTTAAACTGATTGCAAAATATTTATCGTTGAAATGATTAACAGAATGTCAATGCTTTGGACACTCAGAGGAATGTCATTTTGACCAAAACATTGCTGACAAGAAACTAAGTCTTTCCAAGTCTGGTGTCTACGAAGGAGGAGGTGTTTGCAGTAAATGTAAGCAAAAACGGTTTTAATGTACTGTAAGAAATTATAATGACACGAACTGTGTATCCCAGGCCGACACCACACCATAGGAATCAATTGCGAACAATGCGAAGACGGCTTTTATAGACCAGAAGGCGTCGCATTGGAGGCCGAGAATCCGTGTTCCCGGTGTCAGTGCAGTGGACCCGGAGTTTCGCAGTTTTGCGTTAAAGACGTGTTTCATTTGATTGAAGGCCGACGACCGGGAGATTGTCTTTGCAAACCCGGCTTTGAGGGTAACCGATGCGAGCGTTGCTCTCCCGGACATAAGGACTATCCCCGGTGTGAAGAGTGCACATGTATTCACGCGGGTATTGTAAACACTGACACGTGTGACGGCCAGTGTATATGCAAAGAGAATGTAATCGGAAGTCGTTGTAACAAATGTAAGAGCGGTCACTATAACCTCGATCACGACAATCCCGACGGCTGTGCCCTTTGCTATTGTTTTGGTGCGACCACTAAATGCGCTTCAAGTGATTGGGGTCTTGAGATTGTTAGTAATGTTAACGATTGGATGGTCAGTGATCTGTCCGGACGGGTGAAAGTGACTCCGAGTAAAGAAAACGGTCACTTAGTTATAGCCAACGATGAAGTGCCGGCGTCTGCACAGAGAGTTTACTACTGGGAGGCGCCCAAAGACTATTTGGGACTTGACTTATACTCCTATGGCAATGATCTCAAGTTTTTAATCAGTTATGTGGTCTCTAGAGGTGATGTGTCCGGATATTTCACAGACGACGCCGACATTATTCTAGAGGGCGGACCCGACAACATCAGGATTGGCTATAAATGGCACAAACCATCGGAAGTGGACGAAGTGAACACCACTATAATCATGCCTTTAAGGGAACAAAATTGGTTTAGAGTGGGAGAAGACGGCAAGAAAAGTGATTCAACAGTTTCTCGAGAAGAGTTTACGTTATTGTTATACGATCTCAAGAGACTACTTATTCGGGCAAAGTTTCACACCGACCAGATTGAGGGCGGCCTCTATCAGGTCGATATGGAAAGGGCTTCCAACACATCCAAGAGTATTAAGAAAGCCGAGGGAACAGAAAAATGCGATTGTCCTCCAGGTTTGTTATATTTACTCAATTCACGCGATTATAGCAATTACTTTAATATTTACGAATATAATTCACGGCCTCAGGCTATACTGGACTCTCGTGTCAATTCTGTGCGCCTGGATATAGAAGAGTGAACAATATTCTGGTGAATGGCATTTGTGAGAAGTGCAACTGTAACAACCATGCTGAGTCTTGCGATCCATTTACCGGCCAGTGCTCTGAATGTTAGTGTTGTATCGCATTGACTATTATAATACATTTAATTCGATGGTCTAATTAAACAATTGATAGGTTTGCATAACACCACTGGTCCCAACTGTGGTGAATGTAAGCACGGATTCTATGGTAACGCCAGGAATGGATTTGAAGACGACTGTAAGCCCTGCGCCTGTCCTCTGCCCATACCTTCAAACAACTTTTCGCCGACTTGTCGTTACGAACCGAACAGTAAATATGGATATATATGTCTGGAATGTCCGGAAGGATATACCGGTGATCGATGCGAACGGTGTGCCGATGGGTATTATGGAAATCCATTGGTTCCCGGAGGAGTGTGTCTGCCTTGTGATTGTGGACCCAATACTAATACATCAATTCCTGATTTCTGCGATCACTTGACCGGACAGTGCAGGTAATAAATGATTGTTATATTTATTTAGTTTATAGATAACTAAACTAAATGTAATCTCAGATGTATTGGAAATACTGGCGGCTGGAAGTGTGACCAGTGTTTGCCTCAACATTATGGAAACGCCGCTCTTAAAGACTGTAAGGCCTGTAATTGTAATCCTGAGGGTTCTGAGAGTATGGACTGTCATCCGATCACCGGTCAGTGTCAGTGTAGACCAAACTGGACGGGTCTTCGCTGCGACCGTTGCGCTCCCGGTTATGGAAATATAGAGCAAAAGTGTTTGGCCTGTGATTGCGATTTGGTTGGCTCTACATCTCCTAATTGTGATGAGACAACTGGTCAGTGCCCGTGCAGGTCAGTCATCATGCCTTAAGTGATAGTTTACAACATGTATTAATATTCTTTGATCTAAACCTCAGGCCCGGAGTGTTTGGTCAACACTGTAAGGAGTGTTTGGACGGATATTTCGGTTTCTCTGAGAAGGGCTGTCAGCCCTGCAAATGCGACCAAAACGGCTCCGAAGGACCCGAATGTAATCCATTAACAGGTCTGTTATATTGTTATTTATTTTTAATTAATGAACACTTTGTAAAATCTAAACAATGAATTTATAGGTCAATGCAAATGCAAGCCTTTTGTAATCGGCAGAGACTGTAGTCATTGTGAGCCGGGATATTGGAATATAGTGTCGGGCACTGGCTGTGAGCCATGCAATTGTATGAACACATATTGAAGTTTAAAAGCTTACATATTTGCTAATGTATTTGACCATTTGAAGGCAACTTCACCGGTTCAGTATCTCAAGTGTGCGATGAAGTGTACGGTCAGTGCGATTGTAAGCCAGGCGTTGGCGGTAAACATTGCGATCGTTGTCTTCCCGGATATTACGGATTTTCGGCATTTGGTTGCAGTCAATGCGATCCGTGTACAGCACCCGGACATATATGCGACCCCAAAACGGGCCGTTGTGTTTGTCCGCCCAACACTGCGGGTCCCACGTGTCGGGATTGCGCTCCGGGCACCTGGGGTTTCGATGTTCTCACCGGTTGTTCTCCTTGTGATTGTAATCTTCAGGGAAGTCTCAACAATGAATGCGATCACAAAACCGGTGATTGTGTTTGTTTGGAAGGATTTGAAGGTTTGCTATTTTAAATAAACATGTATTCACTGATTGAAGATAGTAATCGCACTTTTATATGATAGGCCGTCACTGCGATAAATGTCAGTTTGGTTACTATCGGTTCCCGAATTGTCGTCGATGTGATTGTCACGAACCGGGAACGGCTGTCGACCAGTGCCGGGAGGACGGCAGGTGTCAGTGCGATGAGACGGGTCAGTGTCCGTGTCGGTCCAATGTTGAGGGCAGGCGTTGTGACCGCTGTAAAGAGGGTACATTTGCTTTATCGGCGGACAATCCTTTGGGTTGTTTTGAGTGCTTTTGTTTTGGAAAGGCCTCCAAATGCGAGCAGTCGTCTATGGTTTGGACACAAATCTTAATACCGCAGAGAGAAGTGGCCTTTGAGATCGGAAACACAGATATTAAGACTTTCCACACATTTAAACTAATACCAGAGACGGGAGAGACTATTGGCGTCCGATATATTGTAGATCAGCCCTACTATTGGGCGCTACCGAAAGAAACGCTTAACGATCAGGTGTTGAGTTATAACGGATTCATTCGTTTCCGTCTCTACAGTCGTACCGGAAGTCGTTTCCCAGAGAATATGTTGAAGAGATTTCCGTTAATTATACTTCAGGGCAATCATCGACTTGTGCTCTCCCATTCGGGGCCGGAGTACGAGAGCACTCCATCGGTCACAGGTCTCCATCAGGTGAGGCTTCACGAGTCGGAATGGGTTCAGTTGGAAAACCCTCAGATACCGGTCACGCGGGCTATGCTTATGGTCGCCCTCCAGAAGGTTCAGTACATATTGATCCGCGCGAGTGAAGGCGCGGACGTGAAACTCGTCAGAATTACCGACCTATCAGTCGATACGGCTAAAGGTGTCGCTCCGGCCACCAATACAGCCATAGGTGTGGAACAGTGTCGGTGTCCGCCTCAATACACAGAGGCCTCGTGTCAGGACCCGAATGTCGGTTATTATAGGAAACGCAAACCCAATTATCTGGATTCAAAGGACATACTGGATCTGGTGGGTTGGGCTGAGCCGTGTCCCTGTCATAACATGAGCCGCACGTGCGATAAGGAGACGGGAATTTGTACTAATTGTGGGGGTTTTACTACCGGTCCGTATTGTAATCTATGCTTAAAGGGATATTACGGCGATCCGACCCGAGGCATACCGTGTCGTCCCTGTGCCTGTCCTACGGTCACCAATTCATTTAGCGATACGTGCGAACTCAGGGGCACTAATGACTGGATCTGCACCAACTGTACTGAAGGTTATACCGGAGTTCACTGCGAAATCTGCGCCGACGGGTATTGGGGTAACCCTATGGGTCCGCGAGGGGTGTGTTCGCCCTGTAATTGCAGGTTTGTATTGAACTATGATCAATGAAAGCACCCCATAATCACATTTAATTTATTTTCAGTCCTTATGGTTCAAAGGATAACATCTGTGACAAAGTGACCGGACAGTGCCGGTGCAAAGAGGGTATGTATTGACACAGTATTACATATTAGCGTTAGGAAACATTGACTAGAATAATAAAATGTGATTAAATTCAGGAATAACTGGATTAAAGTGCGACAACTGTCCGCCCAGACATATAATCACAGACGACGGTTGTCTTGATTGTAACGACGAGTGCACGGGTCTACTCCTCGATGACGTCGAGTTCCTGCAGGTGTTGGTAGAGGAGGCAAACCTGACAGACGTCGGGAACCTTCCGTGGACTCGATTATTGCATTTGACCAACAAATTCACAAAATTGATTAAAAATATGAATGATTATCAATACCTCGTATCTCAGGGACACCAGATTGTCGGCAATTACACCGTCAGCTTTGATCTCGAGACGTGGGCTGACATACTATACCTGAAGTCACGTGAATTGAGTAATAGGGGACCCATTCTGGCCAAAGAGGCTGAGGGTGTGAAGAATGAGGCACAGAGTCTACTCGATTTGCTCAATGATTTGTGGGAAAAGATCATTGAAATTGTCAATCAATTGCGTAGACATGGAGTGGACTCTCACGACCCGATCGGACACATATCGGACCGTATGCTTCAGGAGGCGGAACGCATACTAAGGGAATTACAGGCCAGAGATTTCAGACCGCGTATTGAAGAATCGGACAGAGAGTTACGCAAAGCGAAGAACCTATTGGATAGAGTTAGGCAACTGTTGACAGATCGAAAACACACGGGTCCTCTCAAAGAACGATTGGATCGTTTGGCGGAACTGCTCAGAGATATTCTGTCGATCGTTCAAAACAAGATTCAACCGCCTATACAAACGGCCACTAAATTGGTTCAGGAGTCGCGACCCATACAAGCGTTTATCGCCGACGCGATCGCCAACAGCACAAAACACGCGGATGTGGCCAACGCTACGCTCACCGAAGCCCACATCCTATTAGAGGCCGCGAAGAGCGCTCTCATAGAAGCGGCGGTTACTTACGATATATTGCCGCGACTTTTGATCGAAGTCGACAACGGGACACAACTTGTAGAGGAGAGGCGCGGCATTTTGGCCCGACTTAACCCCGAATATACCGACAAATACGTGATTCCGTGTCAGAAACACGCCGAAGAGCTCCTGAGACAAGTGAACTTTTTGAACGGACTCTTCAATTCGACCCGAGATGTGGCCGAATATCCTTTGAAAGCGGCGAAAGTGTATCAAAGAATAATAGAGGCGTTGGCGGCGGCGGAGATCGCGGCCAATCAGGCCTATGCGGCCGCAGAGCGAGCCTATAAGGAGGCCTATCCCGGAACTGACGACGCGCTCACTCTTAGTGCCCGAAAAGCGAAACAAAGGAGTGAAGAGCTTCTCCAACAGGCAAAGGATATCAGAGACAATCGCGTCCCAGAATTGGAGAGAGAATTGGCGAAGAAGAGAATGCGTTTGGATGTGATCTCTGATGACTTAATAAACGGCAAACGAAACCTCGATCTCATTAACCGGGCTTTGGATGGATTGCCAAAAGATCTGTCGGGTATTCTTCGAGGAGTTGAGTCCAAATTGCGAAATATTTTGGACGGACTCGAAGACATGCACCGAAGAATCGATGACATCGACAGACGAATCGCCGCTGAATTGTTGCCAAAACTGAATCGTCTGAAAGCGGGCACGACTTCCGGTTTGGATAACTTGACTAAAATCATAGAACAGGCGAGAAGTGATATCAGGGACTCATCACGTCTGGCAGATAAAGCACAAGAGATCGCCGAAAGAGTGAATCGACTGCACAATCAAATGGAGCTCAATATGAAGGAACTGAAGGACAGAATACTATTGGCGCGACAGAAGGCCGCCAGCATTCGTGTCTCTCTCGGCACCGACAGGAGTGGTGTCTGCGCCCGATCTTACGAGCCTCAGATCGAGCCCTCCGTTTCCAATAACATTATTCTCAATTATGCCATTAAAGACGAGGCCAGAGATTGTCTTCTGTTTTTCATCGGAAGCCGAAGAACTGAAGACTTTATGGCTATAGAAATGGTGGACCGAAAGATACGGTTCATATGGAACGCCGGCGGCGGCACTAAGATGTTGGCCCACAGTCTCAACATTGAGACCAATGATCAACAATTGCTTAAAGACGGCCAATGGTATAAGATAGAGGTTAATCGCATCAGAAATATAGCCACTCTTACCGTTAAACGTATTCCCGACGCCAACAAAGCGGATCCGTTTGAGATATCGGACTCTTCGCCGGAGGGCTTCAATCGCATGGAATTGAATCGCGATTCGTATTTCTTTGTTGGAGAAGTGCCGCCAGATTTCAGAATTCCTCGTGAGTTGAGATCGCGTTCGTTCGCCGGATGTCTCTATGAACTCAATTTAGACGGAAAAGCTGTCGGTCTCTGGAATTTCACCACAAATAAGGGTTGCGAGGGATGTAAAGAAGGGGCGACAGAACCCAAAGACTTGAGTACTTTTCTATTCAAAGGAGAGGACTCTTATGTAGTACTCAATCAAATTAAACGATACGATAAGAAGAAGTATTTAGTGTCGCTTCAATTCAAGACCTTCGACGAGGAGGCGCTGCTCTTCTTCACAGCCAATCCATCGACCGGTGATTTTATAGCAATATATTTAAAAGAAGGCAAAGTTATATATCAGGTGAATGTCGGCAATTCTGTGCGACTATTACTGCCCACGAAATTGAAGTACAATACCGGACAATGGGTTCGACTGAACGCCGAACGCGAGAAACTGGAAGGCGTGCTAACAGTTCAGGACGAGACACTTGAGGGACGACTACCGCCGGCCAGTCAAGTGAACCTCGAACTCGGCGATAGTGAGCTATACTTCGGTGGCATTACTCCCAACTTCACGGCCTATCACTGGCCGAGTGTTGTGTTTAAGCCATTCCTCGGTTGTATGAAAGACCCGCAAATAGACACAACTCCTGTCAATCTGTTGCAAAGGGAGGCGTTTGGTGTGGAGAGCGGGTGTCGGGAGAAGACACTGAAAGTGGTCAACTTTAAAGGTTCCGGTTATTTGCAACTCAACAGCGAACCACTTAAAGAAGACGCGGACTTCAGTTTTACATTTAAAACTAACCAAAACGAAGCGCTATTATTGTTGTCTACATTTGAAGGCACTAAAGGACCCCGAGCTCGCGATTCGGTTAGTCCTGTATATAATTTATGCAATTTTAAATTATATTAATTAATGTTTTACTAAAACATTGTCATTTGTATTTACAATTATTTGCTGAATAGCATTACTACTCCCTATCCATCGTAAGCGGTGTTCTTGAGGCCAGATTTAATGGAGGCGTTGGTGAGACCATATTGAATACGGAACTAATGGCTGTGAACGACGGCGCATACCATACCGTTTCCGTTTCCAAGAAAGTTAGAAAGTGAGACATCTTTCAATACGAGCAAAACATTTGGATAAAAATAAATAATAATTATTTTTTTACAGAATAATGTTATCGCTTGACGACAAAGAGATCGGTACGACACGACTGGCCCGCGGCACCAAAGACATAGACGCGCCCACCGCTGGCGGCTTGTATTTGGGAGGTTTACGTGAGTCACTCTTTCCTGTCTTTCTATTGAATTTGCAAATATTGTCTATAAATTCATAAATAAATAAATTTTATTTAATAATAGCCGAAGGAATGTCATTGAAGGGAATGGCGGGCACTAAGGATTCACTAAAGGGTGTCATTAGGGATGCCATATTCAATGGAAAGCTATTAAAACTAAATGAGCCAGTTAGTTTTGAAGGTGTGGGCATCGGCCGGGAGAGCGATGCGTTGAATAGGTTGGTCGAGAATCCAGTTTAATATGAAATATCGGAATGACTTTCAATTCTTATAAAACGCCTGTTATTCGCATGAAGACGACTCTAAACTATATTATTTGTCTATTTGTTTGATTTTTTGAAAATGCATTTTGTTGTCCGCAAACTACTTAATGAATATGTTTTGCACACAATTTTTCATTGCTTATGTTTTTCATCGAAATTCAAAATTATGCTATTTTTATATTCTTTTATATGTTTCCTCTATTTTTATTTGTAAACTTTTTTTAAAAATATATTGTTTATCTGTTTTTATATCTGAATGTTATTTCCTTTTTCACAATAAAAGTGAACTCAAATATTGCATCAAAATTCTGTTTTTCTTTTAAATGTTTCGCTTTATCTTATGTTTGATTTGTATTTTTTGTACACAAAAAAACACTAAAAAAACTATTCGCATGAATATTAAGAGCACTTAAAATGAAAAACAAAAACCATTTTTGAATTTAGTATTATTAATGGTTTTGATTTGGATGAGCGGATGGAGCGGATGATGCCTTCGTTGCCGATCTACGAGACGTGTGCAGCGATGCCTCAGTACTCGTTGGAGACCAGAGCCGTTGAGATCGGCGATGCCTTACACTCGCATATCATACTTAATCGACACAATACGGACTTTTCGCTGGACTTTAATCTAATGTTTGAGTTCAGAAGCTATTATCCGAATGGACTGATTGTGTTGATTAGGGGCCACAACAATAAGATTAGGTTTCAGTTGACGTTAGCTCTGAGGGGCGGTTATGTAGTCGCAGACCTTTCCGAGAAGAAACAGACGGAACTCATTAGTAGTAATAAAGAGCCGCTTAATGACGGCCATTGGCATAACGTAACGCTCGCTAAAGTAGCCAAAAGTTTTTCATTAAAAGTAGATAATAATACGTTAGTCGAGTCGACAAAAGTGAGGAAAAAGATACTTCTTAGAAGTCCCATATATATCGGAGGCGTTCCCGAGAGTCTCAATGAAATCAATAATAACAACGAATTAAATATAATGAGAGAAAGTTTCAAAGGATGTCTCAAGAATTTTCACATTAATAACAATTATGTGGATTTGGCCTCAGGTTTGATGTATAACGTTAGCGAATGCTTCACTCGCATCGAAAAGGGGGCATATTTTGCGGGCGACGGCTTCGCTATATTTGGTACACTATTTTTCATTTGCAGTATTTTTCTCTCTCACTCTTCATTACAATTACAATTGAATTGATTTCTATAACATTTTTATCGCTCTCTTTTCACACACCATAAGACGAAAAGTTTAATTTGGGATTTAAGGCAGACATTGAACTGGAATTTAAAACAACGCGTTTGAATGGAATCCTATTAAGCGTAAGCAACGGCACTACCAGTGATAAAGTGCCGGCGCTTTCAATTGAACTGTTCAATGGAGATATCATCGCATCGGTTGACATCAGCGACGGTCCCATCAGAGCTGTGAAAAAGTTTGATTCAAAGTACGATATGTGTGACGGAAAGTGGCATTTGATTAAAGTGTTGTACACCAAGAACTCAATATCGCTCAAAGTGGACAGATATGAAGTCTCTTATGGTCTCAATGAAAATGAACAGAAAAAGGTGGAGCCCTTCACGTCAGCGCCGCTTTATATCGGAGGACTGCCCGGTAGTGGACAGCCATATATAATGGCATACATTTTGTCTGTGATTTATTCTCATATAATCTTTAATTATTTGAATATAGATTTTGCGATGAATAGCGTTTTGCTACAAAGGGATCATTTTGTGGGTTGTCTTCGAAACGTTGCCATTAATGACAAGAGAAAGGATTGGATTTCAGATATGAAACTCTTCAGCGTTTTACCCAATTCTTGTCCAACCAATTAATCTAATGCAACACTACCTCAACGTTTCAGCACAAAGTTTTTACACTTATTTTACTCCAATTCCTTTAGATTCTGTTAGAATATAAAACATATGACTAAATAAAAATGTACTTAATTTTCTATTCAAAGTTTTTTCAATTATTGAAAAACAAAAGTTATGCCAAAAAATTATGGAAATGTAGTGAAAACTCAGTTGTTTATAAAGTCTGTAAAACAGAAAATAATTACATTAAAGTGTTTATTGTTTTGAATATATTCGCCCATAACTACAATATACATACACTTTATTATTTTGTTGTTATCATTAGCGAAATGTTTTGAGTTTTATTTTAATATTAATGAAAATCTCAAAATTATATTATAACGAGAAAATTAATCAAAAAATTTAATAACTTTAAATGTGCTTTTGATAGTATTTTAAATGAAAATATAATCAAATATAAAATCGTTTGTTGTTTTGCGAAAAAGAATAAACTGTTTAATACTTTTTGTTAACTTTTTTTTTCATATTTCATATATTTCAATACAAAGAGAGAATTTTTCTCAAAAAATTATATATAATTTGATTAAAGATTTGCTTTTTGAATGAAGATCTGTTAAGATTTAGGTTTAGATGTCATTAATTTAATTATAATAAATTATTTCTAAATTTTAAATACATTAATAATAATTAATTATAAATAAATTACAAATTTATAACAAAAATTAATATTAAATAATATTAATAGGTTTTCTGAACAGAATTTCTCAAAATTTAAATATTTATAAATTAATAATAAATTTACGAAAAAATAGTCAATAAATAGAAAGAAAATGTGAGGAAATTTCAAAACATTTGTGACAAAAATTATTACAATTGTTATTAATTTAACAGATTTTTCAAATTAATATTGGATAACATTTTTTGTGACTTTTTTTGTAGTATTTTGTAGAAAAAATAAATAAAAAGAAGTAAACGATAAGAAAACGAAGAAAACAATCGCTTGGAATGACTCGAGTGGTGATTGTTATTGCAGTTATTGCAGAAGCGGTTCCCGAACTAAACACATCCCAATCCCAACGTCAGGCCAACAAAACACTGTTTTTTTTATTTGGTGCACATATTTCACAAAAACATACACTTGTTTTATCTCTTCGCTCTTTTCTTCTAAACATTCTTTCGCAGCCTTTTTCTCCTCCGCTCTCGCCATCAGTTTTCGCACTTCTGTTTTGGTTTCTCTCTTTTTGTTGATTCATTTCAAGACTAGTACTGTATTTATCATTTGTGTGGATCTGATCCCTGCATCCCTTCTCCACTAATGCAATGATATTACACTTTTTTGCTGTTTGTCTATCGCTCTCTTTATTTGAACGACACTTTTTTTGTTATTCATAAATCACAGTTTGCAGCGATTAAGCCTCTGATTCCTGTAGTTCTGTCACTCGCGCACAGTATTCACAGGAAAACAGGTGTTATTATTAGAAAAAAACAAAAGTTTATTAAGATTTTTTTCTCTAATAGTTATAGTCATTGTTTTGTTTTGTCCTAAATTGTCCCTTACTTTCTGACTTCAAATTAAGATATAACACACACTTAAGCGTTTGGATAAAGCCTTAATCGTAATGCAATTCAATTTCCAATTTGTTGTTTGATGTGATGTTTAGATGCAATTCACTCAGCGTTTCGCACATTTTTAATATACAATATATTTGTATTTCATTTCAAACACAATTATATAATAGAAATTATTGATGTAATAGATGTACAATATATATATAAATATTTTTGGTGTTTCCATTGGTTTTATGATCGTGAATACCAAACGGTTGTATAACAACATATTAACAGCAGAAGAATTTGTGTCGACAATAATGTCTGTCCTCTATTCATATTTACTGCAAATACAAAAAAAGACAATAAAAAAGTTAATAAAAAGATTAATAAATATCAATATATTGTATTAAAACACATGCAAAACAATGCGAAAAGACATTTAAAGTTTTGTTTTATGATAGAGAGGAGAGTCAGTCCGACTCTTACAGAAAAAGTTCATTTCAGATAAGAATTTGAAAAATTTCATAACAAATCATATGATAAGAGAATTTCATTTCACGTTTCAATTATAAACAATTGAGTTTTAATTGAGAGAGAATGGAGTGAAACAACAACTAATGGATACGAAATGACATAATAAAGCGATGTATTGGACACATCGTCGGCAAATACCGGCTTTGTTTTCAGCAATATGTAATCCAGAGCTCTGTTGACTGCTTCCTATTATTACATTACTACTGGAAGTGTCGATCACTTTCTCTAGAGTTGCCGTGCATTTCAATTTAATTTGTTGATTATCTTTGCCCGAAGAGTATGTCTTTCGTTTGCCATTAGTGGAAGAGCCGCCAAAATGTGTCGGATTTACTCTCAACTGTAAGCCCAGAACCGACACTTCATTCCCGTCTTGGAATTGCACTTTTGGGTGATATCTCAAGTATTCAGGTCTGGCCTAAAACATCACCGAAAGAGAAGAAATAAATCCATTACGTGATTGTATAGAATATAATATGTATAATATTTTAATAGAATTATAAATATATGTTTGATTTACATGAAGGAAAGCAAAGCAAACATTAAAACACTTATGCATAATAATAATGATGATAGTAATGGCTGTGCTATAAAAAGAGTAATAAATCTGTGGAAACAATGTTATGATTACCTCCTTGTCATTAATGAAGAACTTAAGCTGTGGCGCCGGATAGGACTTGGATGAGGTACACGTCAGGTTAATGAGATCGCCGACATGATAGGTGGGTCGCCCACCACTAATGATAGGGCCCTCACTCTCGTGCACTGTAACAGTCATACGACACAACGAATTAGATTTGAGGGATAAATACACAGAACAACGAGTTCACAGAATGCATGTATAACTTGCATATTCTGTACATTTGTGTACAGATGTGTACCACTAATAGTGGCTGTAATGTACGGATTGTATGCATTAATACCTGAGTGAGTGTGCGATGCCTTCGCGTGATCGGAGACAATAATTTCTTCGCTGCTCATGGAGTAGGCCTGCGATATAACACTTGTGCACCGGAGCTTAATTATGCCACCAATAAATTGATGCCTCTCTGCGTTGAACTGTAATTGAAGAGACGATCTCTGCAGACCATCCGTACGTTTCACTTGAGATACGTTTCGCAAATAGCTTTCATCCGCCGATTCGCCATTGATTAGCCACGAGAGCGCCGATTGAGGCTTAAGTCAAACAATACAATAATTGTATTTTATAAGAATCATTTTTTTTATCCATTAATTCTGTAATTTATATCTAAATATGAATTTAATTTCAATTCTCTTGCTTTTTTATGTGTTCGTGATTTATGATTTGAATTTATTTGTTTTATTTCTTGTAAGACATAAATTAAATGCATTTCACGTTATGAATTGCATCTACGAATGCAATGCAATAGTTATTGTAATTATAGAAAGTGTTTCGTGAGTTCTGCTAATTCTTATTCCTCTAATATAATGACTATTAAATTAATTTTTTTTTCAAAACTATAATTAATTTGAATTTTTTCTCACATTTGAGGGGACTATAAAAAATAAGCGAATATTCTCTAGTATGATATCATAACGTTATATAAGCATATACTGTGTAATAGTGTTTATGGTATAAAGTAATAGTCGAGTGCTATGATTACCTTTGATGGCTCGGAATTACACGTGACGTTCACTAATTACACGGAAAAATTACAATTAATAGAGTCTGCAATTCATACAAATGATGTCTATTATGGTTGGAAAATGTGTGAATACAAACCTAAATCTCCGATACCGTACTGTTGCGCTCTAATCCCAGTAATAACCGGACCCTCTTTGGGCAAACCTACAGAATATTATAGTTTTTTTGTTTTAAAAAATAAGCAAATTTGACACAAAATGTCACAAAAGGGTGGTTTCGTTTCAGCTTTAATTTCCTGTCAATTCATTTATGCATTCGTTGTTCGCATTTCACACGACATTTACTTTAAATAACAATTATTAGTAAAAAATATTAGCGTTTAAGAGATGCTTAAGAGAGCGGAAGTGAAAGGCGACCGCAGAAAGAGAATATAAATGACAAGTCATTCACAGCAACCGTTTTCTCAACCAAATATGTGCTCTAATTGTGAACACAATTTTGTGCATTTGATGGCCGCTTGTATTGCCAGACATTCAAGAAAACAAGTTTTTATTATTATAACACAAACTTATAAGCATTATGTGAAGTGAAAAAATTTTCATAAAAACTTTCATCACTTTCACGTTCTCTTAATCCCAATCGGATTCCGTCTGAATTGACTCAAACTTTTTATGCATCATTTGCTCCCTTAAACAAGAGAGAGAGAGAGAGAGAGAGAATGGAGTGAAACAACAACTAATGGATACGAAATGACATAATAAAGCGATGTATTGGACACATCGTC